ATTTCGTTTATTCTCGGCCTCAAAGACGTCAATGCTGGATATATGATTTATATTCCAGCAGAAAATACACACAAATGAGCACCGGATGTGGTTATCGACGAGTCGATACGGCGAACTATTACCTTTCATCTCAGTACCTGGACAATTTTCGATATTCTTTTCACGATCCAGGTTCCTTCGCGCAGGTCGTGAATGAAAAAGGACCCGTACCCATCCGTTCCGGAGACAGGTGGAAATTTTTTATTTGTCATTTATGAACAATTCTCTCAGTATTTTTATAACCTTCGTACCGGGTGGAAGTGGTACTGCACATCAAGCCCATGTTAATCAATCAACAATGCCATTGACATCGAATGTCGACGAAGACGGATTGGACTTTGACAAAGAATCGAGATTTTTACTTGAACCTGCTACGTTAGCACGTTTTAATGGCGATAAATTACAGTATATGTGTCAACGATCATGGCGATGAAAATGAAGATGACCTTGGCAATGCATCAATGACTGGGAATGGTGCCAATTCGTACCTATCGATTTCAGATAATCATGAAGAGCGTGGACAACCGAATGCTAGCACGCCTAGCTATATTAGTCGAACATCTATAATCAATTTGTCCAAGTTCGGTAGAGCCAAGTGTACCGGGAACGATCGACGAGATTGTGGCGATATGATTAGCTGAGCAGCGTAAGGAAGTAGAGAAAGGGTACGTTTTGCTAGAAAGCGCCAAGAGCGAGACGAGACATCCACATCAGCATTAGAGGGAGCTTCAGATAAAACGTCTTATAGATTAAGACTAAGAATTCTTCAATCATAAGAAATCCAAAACGATATAACGGTCACGTTGCATAAGTGCTACTTGTACTCGTATCCTTGATGAAGCTGTCAACCAATTTAAAGCTACAGATGTCCAGGTAACGAAGAATGGACGAGATGTGTGCCATCTAAAGTAAGCAGATTTGTGACACGCAGCCCCGTTTAAATAGATGGACGCTTTACGACAGAACGAGATGCTTCAAGGAATCCGAGCTCTTGATGTACCAGCACCTACTGTAACAGGGTTACACCACATGTGTGACTTACACAACGTGTGTGGGTTACATACCATTTGTGATTAACGCAAGGGACAGAGTCCCATTAAAGATAATATTAGAGCACCGTATCGATCGTCGAAGGCCGACGCGTGTCAGCCATCGAAGTAGGAAATCCTTTAGAGGTATGAATTACAACATCAGTGTTTCGATCAAGTACGTTTGGTAAGGTGTTCTTCCAGATAAAAAACGAAACAAAGTTCAGCTCCCCTTTTGATCACTTAAGACACGTGCCTCACGAGGCGTCTTTGATCGATAGGAGCTATCAATACCTGTGAAGGTAGCTGCTCCTGAGCACTCCGTGGTGCGATTCTCTTGAATCGTTGGGTCCCCTGGAACAGGGACCGTAAGATCAAGAAGCTTGTTGATTCTCTGAGTCAAATTTTTGAAACCAAAGTTGCTCGTTGAGCGATCAGTCTCCCTCTGACTTAAGGAGCTGTGTAGCTCTGCTACACCTACTAAATCTACTCGAAACGATGTAAGTTCGGTGTTTGAAGCCGGACCAATCTGAACCTGTTGTACGATTAATAGTCCGATTAGTTGCATTTTCAACGGGCAACGATCTAGCACTGACTGTATGGAAACGTTATCATCAATTACATGAATGTCGATCTTTCGACCTGTATGAGAGATGTCAGCAAAACTTGGTCTGAATAAGTCGACGCGGGCGTTACTACTGCCTTCTTAAAAGCTCCGTCACAGATACCGACGTATGTGAAGACAACCGAAGGATTCCCATGCCGCCAAAATGGCTATATCTTGCTCGAGCGAATCGAATTGTTTGGACTGTGTCAGGCTGGTCGTGAATGGAATACAAAACTAGATCGATGGATGATGAGAAATGACTATGGGCGGTGGTTATCAAAGCCACGTTTACGTTACAAGACAGGCGACGACATGATGATCACATTAGTTTTCGTGTATGTGAGTGAACGTCATACTATGTGCTACAAACAAGGGGCCAATACAGATTTTATTATTAGCGAAGCTGTATCAATCTATGGAATTAAGTATCGCGGTGTACTTTCAGAATGTCTGAATGTCCAAGTCAAGAACAGTGCTAGCGACATACATTGTACGCAGCAAAATATGATGAGGAGATTCGTAATAAATTTGGGATCTGAAATACCCATGCGATTGGCAATGCATCTGAAACACGAAAGAAGCTGTTAACAGCATCAGCGGATGAAGACATGTATACGAGCCTTGATTGGCGAGGAGCGTTAGACTTGTTAATGTCAATCGCTATGCGTACTCGACCTGATCTCGCATACAAGGTTGGTCAACAGAACCAGGCCATCGAAGGCCCACGTCGGATGTATAAATTGTGTACTTTGATGTACAGCGGGTACATTGGATTACCGCATTGTTTACACACGGAACACACATGACGCATCGACAATCACCATCCAAGGATATCGCGATAGTGATTGGGCTTTCAATATTGGGAATCGAAAAATCACAGTGGTTTTTATCACGCTATCAGGAGGTGCAATTGTATGGCCGAGCGAGAAGCAGCAAATTGTGGTGTTTTCCACAGCTGAAGCAGAATATGTTGCGGCATCTGAATCAACAATGGAAGCCATTAGTAAACGGAATGTGATAAGCGATATTTTGTCGACCATACCTTTGGTGATGAAGATTGGGATCGATACGAAGCGTGCGTACGTGATGGCTGTTTACCCGACGTATTCGAAACGTGCACGGCATATCGAACTGCGATGGCGATTTGTGCAACACGAAGTATAGCTGACGCGTTCAGTTTTCAAAGAAAGCTGGTGAGTCGAATCCGGCTTGTAACGGGGCACACCCTTGCGAGAACTTAACGCAAGGTTTTGGTGCGCCCGACAGACGTAAACGAGGCAAACGAGGAAGCGTAGATAAGGGAAAAGTAAAACTGTTGTATTAATATAATTATGTCTTTTTTTACTGTCTCTCTGTTCAACCTGACTTAATTATGTTAATCTAACTGAGTGTATGGTGACATCTCGTCACCACTCATTGCGCGCGTCGTGCGGCGATTGGTGGGTTGATATCATCAAGATATCAACCAATGAGCAGACCCTTTGGTCGCTTCACCAATATCACCACTATCGGTGATATTGTTCAAAGTATATTCAACTTTATAATCTTTATTGTCACTTTCTTTAAAGTGACAATTCCATGTAACGGGCTGCCCGTTGCACGGCTGACGCTTTTACGAAGGCACTCAACAACGAAAGCTGTCCCGACTCGCAAGTATGATTGGTGTGCAAGGCTAGCCTCTGGGGAGGCTTTTTTATGATTTACCCCTTTGTGTTCGATGATACGCATAACGGGATGTTGAAGAGTGTGATGTGATACAACATTCTGCGAGGAATCCTAACGAATTGTTTTGGAGTCCCAGTCTAGGAAGGTGAGTAATCCCAATGTACTGCGGGGCGCCAGAGGCAAGTAGATCGAAATCTGTGGGGGTAGTTATTTCTACCCGGGGACGTTTTACTTTTGATCCTTAACCGCCCAGATACCTGCGGTCAGTAACTTACAGGCTTTTCGATTCCGTGGTGTACCTTTTGCACACTTGCTTCACATTGAGTACCGGCTGCGGCCTATTTTAAACCCTATCGGTGGCGCGGCCTTGGATTTGAACCTATGCGGATGGAGATGTCCCCCTGCGTGCTCGAACCCTCGACCTCCCGGTCGGAACGGCCGTGGTTAACCACGTGCACCACTCCGATCGGTAAATCTGTCGGAGACGGCAGCACTTTCATTGCAGTAGGAAGGTTCGACTTCTATAAGATAATAGATGAACACTAGTTCCAAAGCCTACGTTGCTTACGGGATCTGTTTCTCAACACAACAGAAAGCCATTCGATGGCGGACGCAATGATGACGTAGTGATGAAGTCGCCACAAAAATAAGCTGCTATTTGTGCTAGTGGTGTTGGCTTTGATCTATAATGAGAGTATTTATGCTGTCACGATAGACGCGATATTGCTTTGTGCACTGGAGGATATTGTGCAGCACACAATTTCAGGCGCATCGGTGCTCTCGGTACACATTGAACATGTAGTAAAATATAATAAAACATCGTTGTGCTACATTCTCAGCACATCGGTCTCTTTGCACTGATACAGAACACTGATGCTCGCATCGTAGAGTTTGCGTATTTGTTGGCGAAGGCACTTGCGTTGCATCAAGTTATACGATGAAATCTGATTGGTTAATGAGTACAGGAAACGATCTGACACCTTCGACCGCCGGGAATGAACCATTTCCATTAACTTGCTACGACGCTTATATCGCATGTCAACGACTAACTTTGCATGCATTGATTTCGAGCATGTGAATGAGTAAGCGTATAATATACGATGGTAGCGCGTTTTGTAACTAGTTGAGCATAACTTTGCTTTTACCATCCTGTGGCGTTTATTTTGTGGTTCCACCTGCGGTGTTTTTTATGTTTTTCATTCAAGTGCTGCCATCTTTATCCTTTCATGTCAATTTGCGTTTTTGTTTTCGTTTATTTGGTGCTTTCCTAATAGCCTCTTCTACATAAGTTCAATATAAACACCAACGACTTTGTTCGCCACTTCAAACATGTCTTTTCTTGAGTGGTGGTAAGTGCTGGCTATTATTATCGCTAATAGCAGCCAATATGAGCAGAGCATCACCACTTGCTTCGTGAAGTTTACCCGCGACGCTGCTATGCACAGACGAAAGTAGAACAGTCCATTTGATGAAAAGAGCGTCGCTTTGCCTGCAAGCAAAACGTTCTGGTCCGTCATTCGTGCTACGACGCCGTTTAAGTGCGGCCAGAGCCATCGAACCGCACTTAGCTGATGATGCACTGCCGAGTGTTGAAGTCGCCAATAGGTACACGTGTTGACCGAAAAGACTGCAGCGACCGACCGTCCGCCCGCACAAACCCAATGCAAAGCGCGCAGAAGAGCGGCGCAGTTGACACAGAGCACGACGTACGACAGCCTTCCGGTCGCCCACCGAAGGCACCTGCGCCCGGCCCTTCAGCTGCGCACGCTGTCGACCGCCGCGGCCGGAAACCCGACCGACGCGACAGCCGCCACGACGTTCGTTCGCCGCTTGCGATTGCCCCTACGAAATGCGACTCAACTGATGATCTGTGTCTGTTTCAATTATTGTCAACTACTGTGATTGGTGCAGTTTCGGCAGTCCACAGTCGATAGCGAACAACACCGCAGGCGTCTACCCGACACCCTCAATGTGACCGAAAGAACGGATGCTACTCACGACGACGTCGTGGCCGGGACAAAGACAGCGTCACTTTGCATCGAGACAGAGACGACTACGGCTTCTTTGGTGTTACCCGAAGGTAACAAAGTGCTCACTGGCCACTCGGTGCAAAGCCCTCGCACGTCGGAGAACCGGGTGACGTACGCGGCGTCTGATCGCGAAGAGATTGCACGAGCACCTCAGCAAGCGGACGTGGAGCTGTCGTCACGTACTGATTCCCACACACGCTCTGGATTTCAAGCAAATACGTTGAAGGACGTCTTCGCATCACCGACGTCGTCATCGACATACGACGAAAAAGAAAATGGACCGCGATCGTGTCCAGTGGCCTTCACCGATGGTCGCGCAACTCGAGCCACTTTGTCGCTGCATACGAAACGGCACCAATCTCGTGGTGAAAATAAGCTGATCGCATCCAAGCTCTTGCCTACGCGCGAAAGTGTAAACAGTATGCTCACCTATTTGCATGAACTACAAAAGTCGGAGACAAGTTTGCGCAAGCAGTTGGTGACAACAAAGCAGCATACAGAGGAAGAACTGAATCAGTCGCTGGCGAAGCTGAACAAACTGCAGGAGACGATGCAGGAGATAGAGCGGGGCCGAGAGCTAGCGCTACAAAGGCTGGAAGAGAAGGAGCAACGCATTCGCGACCTCGCAACTAAGTTGGAAAAAGCGGAGGCGGAACAAGCGAGAGCCGGTCGTGGCTTTCAGAACGGATTGTCTGGTGGCGAGCTGCCCTCCTTTGCTGAAGAGGCAGCTTTGCATACAAAGGCAGAGCCGTGGACGTCAAAACAGCAAGCAGTTGGTCAAGGGACAATGCTGTCAGGACGATTGTCGGATCAGCCTCCATCGCTTACAGTGGCAGCGCTTCCGCGTCATCAACAGCATGACCAGTCCGCAACACTCCCTACGCGCACACCTCAGCTCCAGCCTACGATCGACGATCCGAATCTGCATGCAATTGATTTCCCCCGATCGTCGAACCAGTCTTTGTGGGATCCATGGGCGTCGGAAGGTACAGCCTCGGTGACAAACGCCCCACCTATGTTCACAATAAGTTCAACAGAACTTGACCCCGATGTGGCTCCGGTTGCAGAGTCAACTTTGACTAACGGTGGAGATCACGAGCTACGGTCTGTACTATTGTCTCCAAATCGCGATCGCTGTCAACCTGAATCGATACGGCAGCAGAAGCATGCGTCTTCGGTGTCAGCACTCGACCAGCATGGCGATGCATCATTGGAACCACTGAGCTTCAGCCCCGGTATCGGCAGTGCCTCGATACCCTCGTTAGTGCCTCAATTGCATCAACCAAACTTGCAGCCACAAGGAAAGCAGGCCATAGCTGATGACGAGCAGGCGCAAGAGAGATTGGCAGCCGTAACTTTATCATCGCGATCCAATTCGTTGTCTTCTATCGAAGCCATACCGCTAGCCGATGTAAGTCCATCGGAGCAGCATGAAGACGATGCCCCTTCTCCGGATAGCGGCCTTCGTTCAAGGAACGCGTGTCCGGACCGCCAAGACATTCATGAACGCGCATCTCGAGTCCCACTGTCAGGTATAGGCAACAACGACCAGCCTCTATCATCAGCAGAAGTAAGCACCACTTCATCGTCCCATTCTGCAGCGCAAACCTCGCTGCAAGATCGTTCATTGCATGCTGCAATATCGTACAGTGAAAGCGACGTGGACGCTAGATCGGACACCTACGCTGCTCCTGCAGATTCTCCGTCTCAGCTGCCAATCACATGTAAGGCCAAGCTCGATTGCTCGTCTCCTACGACTCCGACAAGCCGCGAAGATGTGCCTCCAAAGCACGCGTCGCTGGAGATGTTGCTACTCGACTTCTTCACGGAAGTTGACAACAACCGATTGAAGATGGCGAAGGTGTACGGAAAGCGGTACGCAGGCCGCGAGAAGTGGCTGTTCGCTGAGTTCACGAAGCGATACGGTGCGGCGAAGGTGGCAGTGCTGAAGGCTCGATTCGACACTGGAAGCGGTGGTGGTGGCGATGTGTCTGCTGCTACCAGCCGCACCGATAGTGCGGAGGCTCAACACGCGACGAGGCCGCCTGATGCCCCAAATCAGGCGGAGCAGGGACGTCGAGGTCACCCACAACATACACAGTTCTTCCATCCTCCTGCACCTGATGGAAACGTGGAGTTCGACACCGGTGCAGGTCCGCCTTCGATGTCCGCTCCGATTGCTGATCCTCACGAGATGGACGCGTCGAGCCTTCAGAGTCGACAGGTTGCGCCAGAGGTTGAGACCCCTCCGAGTCCGAGCGAAAGCCTTTCTGCGGGTGCTTTTTCGTCTCGGCAGCGTCATTCTGGAGGCAACGTGCCGCCTCCATCTGGCCCTTACAGCTCGTTCCCGAAATCGCAAGAGACAAGTGGAGAAGTCAGTGCAGCTCTTGCAGGTGGCAATGACGGCTCCTCATTCAAACGTGATCCCTTTCCTATGTCTCAACGTCGCGCAGAGCCATCCAGTCATCGGCCGTTTCTTCCTCAGACGGGAACAGAGAGCAGCGATGCTGCGTCGTTGGGTCTTCGCCAGCGTCGCCAGACGTCTGTTTCCAGCCAGGATGGTAGTGGTGATGCCGAACCTCCTGTCGTGACCTTGGAAAGTTTGCTGAAGGAGCTGTACAAGAATCACCAGCCTGATAAGCTGAAGAGCGTCCCTGCTATGGCAAAGCAGTACGCAGGCAAGGAGCGTGAGCTTGTTGCGTCGCTGAAGGGGAAGTACGGAGCTCTGAGTGTGAAACGGCTGGAAGAAAGTCTGGACGTGCTGGAGCGCGCACACCTTGCTCGTTTGAGCAGTAAGGCTGCTGGAAAGCGGCGCGGCTGTTTCGTTCGTACCGTCTCGCTGGTGTTTTGGCTCTCGCTGCTGCTATACTTCTCGTCCGGCGTTGTTTTTGTCAGCTTTATCGTATTGGATGCGTGGGAGTGTCATTCTCTAGACGGTGAGGAGCAAGAGTTGGAAGGTGCTGAGGAGTGTTCTGTGCTGAAGAAGGAGCTGGAGGCTTTTACGTACGAGCGCGTTGCTGACTACATGGGTCAGTCACACCCGGACGCCTGCTTTTGCTCAGAGTGGAAGGCGCGCGAAAGTGCGTTGTTTGCCAATTATTCAGTCGAAGATGCTGTCAATTTGGCGAGAATGGTTCCGTTCTCGCCTGATTCTTTCGGGGCACCGTGGGTCGCGACTGTGAAGGCCCAAGTGCCCTCGCAAGAGTTTGTTGACGGCTATGTCAAGCCCGTGGTGGACTTGTCATTGGATGCCGGTTCATTCGTGTGGACGTCCGTCCTTGAGTTGGCAGAGTCAGGCATGACTTCGGAGGAGTTGCCGGTCGTGGAACATGACGTCGGTCATGGTTACGGTGACGCTTCATCCTTGGATGAAGACGGCGACACCAATGAGCACGCAGACTCACATCCGCAGAATGCTGAGACAGACATCGACGATCTTGTCGGCAACGATGATGCGGATACCTTATCGATGGAAGAGGAAGAAGAGCTGGTTGAGGATCAATCACTTGCGGTGACGCCTGGTGTGTTGGATCAAGTTTTTGTCGAGGAGGTCAGCGACGTGCTTGACGAGAAGCCTGAAATCGAGGAGCTCGACACACGTGTAGCAGAGGCTGTGTTGGTGGAGGACGAGGAAGTCATGTCCGATGTGGCTGACGAGATCGACATTGCTGCGCCGGACGGTGTGCTGGTGGAGAGCGAGGATGGCATTCCCGCTGTGGGTGACGTGACGACCATTACTGGAGAGAGCTTGCCATCAGAAACGAAGAGAGATGAGCAGGCCGCAAAAGAGTCAACCGACATGCTGGAGGTGGACGACACCTTGTCATTGGAGATGGCTGGGTCGATTGATGCTAGCGAGCAGGCGGCAAGCGATAAGATTGAAGCAAGGGCTGATGTAGAGGCTACTTCGGGCGGCGCTGTGAACAACTTGGCTGAAGAGGACGAGTCTGTTGGTGACGCCGATGGCGAATCTGCCGAGACCGAAGTAGCAGATGCAGCTATCACCGAGTCTACTGGTGGCATCGATGACGCGTCTGAAACTGAGATCGCAGTATTGGATGACGCGGCGGATAACGTTGCCGTTAATGCTGCTGAAGAAGCACCCGAGGTCGCAGTAGGAGGCAACGTTGAGACGTCAACTGACGATTCTGTGGCCGAAGCGGAGAGAGTCGTGGAGGTGGAAGTGCATCAGGAGGGTCTAGACTTGTTGTACCCCGAGAGAGAGTCGACAGAAGAGGCTGAGACTGCGTCCGGTGAGGTGTCCGATTCATCGATGCATGGGGACCTCCTGCCTTCGCTCGCCAGCGGTGACGAGTCGTCTATTTCGAATGAAGAAACGGCGTTCGTATCACCTGAGACGAGTACTGCCGACGAGGGATCCACTACGCACACCAGCAGCGGCGCTGATGCTGATGCTGATGTGACGAATGTGGAGCCGGACGTTGGCGTAGAAAGTGATGCGCTCGAAGCAAATGGGGGACATAGTGACGAGGAGATGATCGAAGCCTCACAAACGGAGCATCAAGCTGAGCTATGCTCGGAATGCGAGTTTGTCACACACGACGACGATTCGTCGACCTTTACTGACGTTGACGAGCAGGCCGCTTCTGCCGTAGTGGGGGAACTTCCGTCAGCCGATGACGATGAACGTGTGGTTGAAACGAATGAAGCAGGCGATGACGATCCCACCGTTCTCGATGAGGGGCAGGAAGATGGCGAGTCGGAGATTGAGGACGACACTGCGAGTGTAGACGGAGGTGTCGTGGCGCAGGACGTATCGGAAGACGCTGAGCACGGAGAAGTATTATCGGCTGCAGCAGAGTCTGATGCAACTACCGACGGGTCCGCTTTGACGGCTGCAGCAGAGTCTGATGCAACTACCGACGGGTCCGCTTTGACGCCCGAGGCAGAAGTAGAGAACTTCGACGACGCTACGGACGAGATGGATGAGGTGGGCAACGAAGATACTGAAGCTACTGCTGACCGTGATATCGAAGTGGAAGAGTTTGCGCGAGAATCTGACCTAGCAAGCGAGCTTAACGAGGAATCAGCGGTGGCCGAAGATGCAGATGTGCCGGACGACGTCAATATGATGTCTGCTGAGCACGGTAGGGAAGCGGACGAACAGGTCGAGGTCGACGAGGCTACCAGTTTTTCTGCAGGCGAAGACGGGGACAAGTTATCAAGCGGTAAAGACGATGTATCAGTGGACAACGCTCCAGCAGATGCTGCAGTCGAAGACACATTGATAATCGAAGCAGATGCATCGGCCGCTGACGACCTTAATCAGCTCAGTGACGAGGAGAACGACGACCATGAAAGTGAGGAGATTGCGTTCATGCTACAACTCGAAGACCCCGAGGAATTGCTTCGGATGGCTGAGCGGGCTGCTGTTGCCGCGATCAAGACGAGATGACAAACTGCGTTGCAGGTAAACAGATCGTAACTCAAATCGTGAGCGTCATTTGCGTTGGCCACTGCATTCAGAGACTTCACACATTGCTGTGAGGTATATCTGCCGCACTCTGGTGTATGCTGTAACAGTAGCCGAGTTTGTATTTCTGCAAGAATGGTTAGTTGGCTCAATTCCTGCGACTTGCTGCCGAGGTGCGACAGCGTTACATGTCCAAAAGCAGGCGGCGTGGATCACTGATTGCCTCAGCGATACTTTTCAGCAAAGTCACACCTTCTCGTCCGTCGATGATGCGGTGATCGTACGTCAGAGATAGAAACATCATAGGGCGCGGCACCACCTTGCCTGCGTGCACCGTCGGGCGCATCTTCACGCCATGCACGCCCAGAACAGCAGACTGCGGCGCTGTCAGCATCGAGGTGCTCAACAGCGCTCCGTTCACGCCGCTGTTCGAGATCGTAAAGGTCCCACCCGCCAAGTCTTCTAGTGCCAACGTGCCGTCGCGGGCCTGCTCACTCAGAGCTGCCAGTGTCTTCTCGATGTCGACCACGCTCAGCCTTTCGACGTTACGGATGACAGGCATCACAACTCTACAGAAAACAAAAATCACATCGAGACAGTTCAGCGACAACCAACCATACCACACACTGGTCGAGCGAGCTAGACAACAAACCCGCGCTCCGAAGCCACTGCCACGTTGATATCGACGAAGTCATTGTACACGACTTCCTTGGCGTCCATGTCGACGACTGTAGGTAAGTGGACCACAGAGCAGTCAGTAAGAAATATGACGCCACGATACAAAGCGTGCGCCATAAATGAGCCGAGACGTACAGGAGTTCGCTGCCGGAATGCGCTGAAGCGCCTGCGCGCTAGCCTTGAGAAAAGATGACATGATGCCAATCTTGACACCATGAGCCTTCTCAAAGCTCTCACCTAGCTCATCACGCAAGGCAATCAGCTCGCCCAAATCGCATTCCTGAAACGTTGACAACATTGCAGCGCTGTTCTGCGTATCCTTCAATCGCTGCGAAGCGCGGAGCTTCAGCGCGCTCATCTGAACACGCGTTTCGTTGCGGCTGCGTTGGCCCAGGGTCGGCGTCGTCGGTGCAGCTGGAGAAGAAGCTGACGACTTCGACGAGGTGGCCGGGGATGGAGTCGACGGCTTCGACGAGGACGCCGCCGACGCCGCCGAATGTTTCGGTTCGGAAGCCGGGGCGTTCTGAGCAGGCGCAGCTGGAGAAGACGCGGGGGACGCAGACTCAACCGGTGCGGAAGCAGCCTTGTCGATCACAAAGAGAGGTGCCCCCACTTCCACCACATCCTCGACTTTCGCCAACACACTTGTGATTTTACCAGACATTGGAGCGTTGACATCCACGCTTACCTAGCACAGCAGACGTCGGAGCGTAATGGTCAGTCGACTGAACGTCATGCATCAGATTCGCAGCAACGTCTCACTTTGTCAGTTTCGACGATGAGGACAGCCTCGTCAGCGCGCACGTAATCACCGACGTCTATCAATCGACAGCAAAGAAGGACGAAATGAGCGCGGGCACACACACATACACCGAACAATACGACAGCGTACTCTTGAGAACACTCGCAATCGTGCCCTCCGAGATCGAGTCGCCCATAGACGGCACATTAATGGTCTCGAGGTCCTCGCCAACAGAGGTCGCTGCTTTCTCCACGGGAGAAGAACTCGCTGCAGGAGGCGATGCAGCCGCTTGCGTACTACCAGCGGCCTGCTTCACAACACTGAAAAGCGGCGCACCGACCAGCACGTTCTCGTCGATCGCAGCCAGCTGGGCCTCCAGGACACCAGACACCGGCGCGCGCACGTCAACACTGACCTTGTCAGTCTCTATAATCACAACTACCTCGTCGGCGTCCACAGAGTCACCAGGAGCTGCAGTAGCCACAACATGAAACAGTCAGTGCGTATGGCGCAACAGCAACGACACTCTGCATCGCACTCGCGCTCCAGCACCTTTCAGCCACTCGACTACTGTTCCTTCCGAGATGGAGTCGCCCATCGACGGCACATGCACAACATCGGCACCAGCTGCAGCAACGCGAAAGGACACACCACGTTACAAACAACCACACGTCAACTCATTGACGTCCCATTCAGCAGTTTATCACGAGCACGCACCGGAGGAGAACGCGCGGAGCAACGTCAGCGTCTGCGAGCGCAGACAACTACACTCAGCAGCACCACAGAGTCACCAGTCAGCCAGTCGGTCAGTCAGCCACAGAGCCACATCACACTATCACTACAGTGATAAAGCGACTGCACTACGTGTGGTGCGTATACACACAACAGACCTCTCGCGCCGTCGCGCGGCGCTCGGAACGATAGAAAAGGTGCGCGCCTCGGACTTAGCGGCCAGCATATCGACCCGCGCAGACGCGATTCGGGCGACGTTGACACGCATGCAGCGCACCGCCTGGCGACTGCTGCGCACGCCTCGCTTTAGCACGTGGAAGCTCATGGCGAACCGCTCGCTGCTCCCGACGACCGCGTGTGTCTTGCTCTGAACCGCACGATCGAAAGTGTGGGCCCCAGGGCAGATGCACCACACAAGTGCCACACAAAGTTAGTTGATGTGGTCCACCTATAACTAGGCACGGAACGCGATGTGGTGCACGCGTTTCCACCGCACCCATGCCGCTCATGCCGGGGTCTCCCCGACCGGGGACGCCCGTGGCGCACGAAGAAGACACGGGCGTCTACCGCTCCCTCTTCCAGCAGCCGTTCGTCGACGTGCCGCCCGCAGCGCCTTCGTATGCCTGGTTCGAGTTCCTGCTGCACCCCGAAGCGCTGCAGAACCACGTACGTGTCCTGTCCTGTCTCTTGTCGACCCCGCGGGGTTGCCGTTGCTCTTGGAAAGGCAACTGCAACTTGACCATCACTCTGCGCGTCTCGTATCTTTCCTTTTCGGTTGCTGTTGGTTCATTGTTGCTATTTGTAGCTGACGACGCTCCGCCAGCAGCAAAAGTGCGACGCGCATGGCGCCACGTCGGCCATTGAACTCGTGCGCGAGTTCCTCGAGCAGGCCCAGCTCGTGGCCGACGAGGGCAACGTGCGCAACAAGCGCTACCGCGCACTGCTGCTGGTGGCGGCCCAAGTGGCGCTCGAGATGCACCTCACGCTGTCGGCGATCGAGCAGGCGCTGCCTTTGCACTTCCAGCGACTGCTGTTGGACGGCATTGTGGACTTTGCCGAGCAGCCGGTAAGCAGCCGCAACGCGTTGGCACGCGACATTGTCCTGCAGCCCCACGAAGCGCATGTGCTGCACAACCGGTGGACGCTACGAGCGCTCGTGAAGCAGTCGCAGAACGGGTATTTGACCTGTAGCAGCCGCAGCGAGGGCGAGGAGGTCTTGACGACGTACCACATGGCGCTGGGCGACCTCACGCCGAACCACTTGCAGATTGCGCAGAACATTCAGGCGATTCTAATGGGGCAGCACGAAAAGCACGCGCAGCTCTCGGCACAGCGTCAAGCCGAAACGTACTTTGACTTGGGCGTGTACTTTTTCAGCTTCAACGGGTACGAAAAGGCATACAGCTGCTTTAGTCGCGCGTCCGAGCTGGTCGAGGAGGACGGCGACGGTGACGCGACAAAGGACAAGAGCGATGACGCGCAACTGTCGGTAAATGATCGAGCGACGCTGGAAGGATATTTGACTGCGTGCGAAGCTATGCTGGAAGTGCAGTCTGCAAACGAGAGTCCTGCCCTGTTGAAAACAACAAAGATGCAGATTGAAATGGCGTGGGATGCTCGAGAGTGGGACAAGGTGATCGAGCTTCTCGAACGAGATATGGTGGCCACGGAGCTGACGAGGTTGCCACAAGGGTATCGAGCTGCACTGGAGCTACAAGCGCTTCGTTTGCTACGATCGAGCTGTCATGCATCGGCGGACGAAGGGTCGCACGTGGCTGCTTCGACTATGAGATTTTTTTACAAACGGATTGTGATGGAAAATGCCGTCAAGGAGCTCTTACTCGAAGGCGACGTCGAAGAAACCATGTCGCTAGAGACGTGCGTGTGCGTGTGCGTGCGTCTGCTTACCGACGAGGTGTTTTGCTCGACACGACATGTCACTAGAAGTAGCGATGACGAGCCCACGAAATGCTTTGAAGCGCTAGCTCGCTTCATGCTGACGCTGAGTAGCTTTGCATTTGTGAAAAGCCCAAATACTAGCGCCAGAGAACGAATCAAGCAATTCATGATTCAAGTGATTCGCCACGTTCCCTGCATGGTGAGCATCGAAGGTGCGCCAGAGCTTCTTCAACGCTGTGAAATTCGTGATGGTGCTGAAAACAAAGACTTTGCGCCTGTGTTGGAGAGTGTGGAGGGTGCGGTGGCGGTAGAAAGACGCGTGCAAGGTGCAGTGGCTGTGCAGAGGGAGCACTTTCGCATGAGAGCAGACGTTGGCAGCATGTTTGTGTTCTCCAGTGCGAAAAAGAAGGATGCGTTTGTCACTGCTCTGCACGACGAAGTTGCGGTCATGTCCGCGGCCGACAGCAGTGCGCACGAAAAGCAGCTGATGAGCGTCAAGGACAACGATGAACGCAGCATGTCGTATCGGAATTTGATTACTTTTTGTGCATCCAACAGTTGCTGGAAACTGCTGTCTCTGTGCAAAGATTCGACGTTTGTCTCGTCGCTGTTGCGCTTCGAGCTGGACTTTGTGGTAATGTGCGGCGCACTGGCCGAGTGTGTATCGTCGCTAGCGTCGTCGGCTGGTGCACCCAGTGCCAAAATCTCGAGTACTGGTGCTGATGTATCTGTTGCACCAGGGACCCAAAGCGATGAGTTTTCCATCGCGACGAGCATCAAGCTCGTGACAAAGATCTTGCTGAAGTGTCGTGAATGGGCGGATGCGGTTCATGTAAGCTTCGGTGATGGTTCTGGCGACGAAAATCGGATCAAAGTGGACGTAACACAGACGTTGATGTATCTTCCTTTGTGGATCGTGGAGACGCTTGTGTGCGTTTCCGCTGGGCTACTGCACCGCGCATCCATGCATAATGTGTGTGGATACCGTGTATCGTTCGATCTCACTCCGTACGGGGACGTCGCATTCCTGGAAGCCTTCGCACCCGAAACGCCGTCTACGTCGTTTTCTGGGTCAGGACCATCTGGCTCAACGGTCTCTTTGTTGAAAAACTTCCAGGGAGATTTAGTTCGGCTGCACTCGGCAGCCCTCGAGAGCTTGGTGTGCCGTTGTGGTCGCGAGCCGAGGTGGCATTGCGCCAAAGCTGATATACTCCTGAATCCTTTGTCGAAACAACGGTCCTCTTCGGCTTCTGGTTAGTGAAGAGCTATCTTGCTTGGTTTGTTGCCGCTCTGTTTCTTGCGTGATGTAACGGTTGTGATCCGATATCGACAGATCCGCGCGGCGCCTTGAACGGCTACTTGATGGCGGCCTCGCTGGCAACGAACTTTTTCTCCGATATGGTCTCTGTGGTGGACATCATAGATCGGAGCTCGCTTGTCCGCTTGGTACTTGTGGCAATTGGAGTAGTGTGTGTTTGGCTCGACGTCCTGACTCTTTCTGTGCCATGCCAGAGCCAATGCCTCGTAAAAGTTGGTGCGCACGTTGCAGCTGCCGTGTTGTATCAGTGTTTGATGCCTGAGGAATTCAAGTACGGCCTTCGTATCTTGCGTCTGGCTCCTGAATCGCATGGCGAAGGATTCTTTCAGTACTTCTGGGAGGTAAGTCTGCCATGTTGGCACCTTGCATGTGTGGTGTTTGCGATAGCACTAACATGCGTCCCAACCCGTGGCAACTGTCATGATGCGCGTCACAGCTGCCGTTCCTGGAGCTGCTGGTGGATCTTCACTCGAGTCCGAAGTATCTCAATGATAGGTGAGGCCTGTTGTGAGCGCATGGTATACGATTGCTCCCTCCCTGACGTATGTGCTATCGCTGTGACCAGATACGTGATGCTGTTGACAAACCTCATCCAGTCGCCCGAGCTGAATAGTTCAAACCCCTCATCAGTCGTCAAGGACGTCGAGCGTCGCATTCTTCGCTGCTACTTCCGCGACTTGTGCCGACTGTATCTCAGCAACTAAGTAAATGTATGGTGTGCTGTGGAAACGGCCGTTGTGGTTCTGTCACGTCTGGCGTGTGCTTCTGCCGCATGGGATTGCCGCTCTCAAATACTTCAACTGTTGTGGTGCGTCAGGAAAGGAGGGAAGTCTGTCTATCGCAGCCATTCATGCAGCTTTCCCCGCATCTATGGCAAGTTTCACCCCATGTTGTCGCATTTGAAGACGCTCTCAGTCTGACCTTCGAGTCGTACAGTTACAGGCAACAAGAGCAGTTTTGGCCATCGCAAGAGACGGATGTTGGTCATGTAGTGGTGGCTTTTGCACAATCTGAGTGAGGTGGAGTGGGGGTGTAAGCTATTCCGACGACTGCAAAATAACGTTTGTTTGCATCATTCGGGGCTCCCCTGGTAATTCCACGATCATAGAAAGAGAGCTGTTATACCGCAGAGAGAGGACGCCCGGTACAATACAACATGTATAACAATCGAGAGAGAAAGAGGATGGTACCCACATACGGGGCGGGATAACCCGAAATAGAGGACATGCGTGCGTCCCTCAACGCCCCTAACTGCCTTCCTCTATTCAGCTACAATCTATCCACCCACCGCCCGCCCGCTCCTCACTCATTCATTCCCGTACGTTGCCATGGCCGACGCAGCGCCGCTCGTTGTAGGCGTCGTCTTCCCCGTCAAGAAGCTCGAGCGCCTCCAGTCGCTGCTGGACCAAGAGACCGACGGCGTGCGCTTCGTGCTGATCGACTTGGAGGCCGCAGCGCCCACTGGATCGGCCGTCAGCGCCTGCGACATTGAAGCGGCGGCGCAGCGCCTCGCGGCCCGTTACAACCCGTTGCACGCGGTGCTGCACAAGTTGGCGCACGATATGGTGTTCGCCCGTCTGGGCGACGAGGACGCAGCGACTCGCGTCCAGTTGATGCAGGAGATGGCGCGCCAGAACCCGTCGGTGCGCCTGGTGGACCCGCTCGACAGCGTGCGGCTGCTCACGAGTCGCTCGGCGGCCTGTGAGCGGCTGCAGACAATGGAGCAGGTCAAAGAGCCGACACAGAGCTTCAAAGTGCCGCACTTTCGTGTCGTACAGAACTTGGAGCACTTTCAGGAGCTGGTGGCGGAGCTGGACGCTGGACGTACGAAGCTGCCGCTCATTTGCAAGTCGGTGGAAGCCTGTGGTGCGTACAGGAGAGAGAGAGAGAGACAGATGGAGAGTTGACTTGGGTTGGCTTGGATGGGTCTTGGCTGTCGAGGTGACTGACGGTGGCAGTGGCTGTCTCGTGGTGTGTGTGGTGCAGCAACGGAGCGCTCGCACATGATGAGCGTCGTCACGAAGCGCGAGGACTTGGTCTACGTCGAGTACCCCGTGTTGTACCAGGTTGGGTACCTTTGTGTCTTGTCATTTTGTTGGCTGGTTGGTGCATGTGCAGGTTGCTGACCCTATCGCTGCTGCTGCTGCTGGTGGCTCATTCTTTGGTGTTGCTGCAGGAGTTTGTCAACCACTCGGGTCGTCTCTACAAAGGTTACGTGCTTGGCGATACCATCAACGTGGCAGAGCGACGCTCGTTGCCGAACCTTGTAGCGGGCAATGCCCAGCAAGTGCACTTTAACACCCAAGAAGCCTACCCCACGAGTGAGGACTTCCACTCCCGTTCCGACGACGACGCTGAGCAAGAAACAGCGGTCGGTGGTAAATGGACGCAGGAAACGATATTTGCAGCCGTGCGCACGATCGGCGAGCGCCTTCGTGACGAGCTAAAACTGACCCTGTTCGGGTTCGATGTCATTGTGGCCGATGACGGCCCGCGAGACCTTTACGTGATTGACGTCAACTACTTTCCGTCCTACAAAGAGGTTGACGACTTGAGCATCGTACTCAGGAAGCACCTGAAGCAAGTATGCGGTCGTCAGTAGATGTCTGAGCCATTCAGTGGCATCCCACACCAAGCTTCGCGATCTCTCGGTTGTAGAACACAGCAACCAGCTAAACGGATCCCCACGATGCGACCGGAGCAATGCTTTCAGCAGTAAGTCCACATGGGTGTCCACAGCACTGTCCATATCAACAATAAAATGAGATAACTACTTGCCACCACTTCTGTCTTGTCGCCGTGTCCTAGCGCTTTGACAACACCTGAGCGAAAGCTACTGCGTGGTCACTTGACTGCATGGCACAGTAGCAATGTCAACAGCTTAGCCAGTTGATGCCATCGTTACGACCGAGCACACGTCTTACGTCACTATGCTGCCGTTTTCGGCCACGTGACAACCACAATCACGATGGAATTGCCATTCACAGAGGTGCTCGTTCATCTGCTGAACGTCACAAGTACAAATTGAGCGCTGCGACCTGCATCGACATCAAGTCGGTATCCACCAAGTGTCCCTTGTCACCTTTTCATCCAGCAGCAACCACAAATGAACATGGCATCAACGTGTTCTTGTGTGTGACATTACAATGACACTACAGCTCGAGCAGTTCCATATGTGCTGTTGACTCGACTGAGCCGCTTTTGCGACCCGAACGACAACTAAACATTTCTGTATGCCAGCCATCGGGTTCATGGGATCCCCGGCCGCGATGATAGCAGTAGTCCAGTGGCGTAGAAACAAAGGCTGCCTCGCAGCATGACAGAAGGCGATGCCTTACCGTGATACTTTCCACATGTCTTCATTGCTTGCAGCACCTCTATCGAGTCGATGGATCACGTGCATCGTTTGCCTCTGACTTATGCTGGCGCCACCAAATGCCGATCTCGTTCACATCATGCCACAAATTTCTTGCTGCGTATCATCTCTGCAAAGTCGAAATCACTAGAAACGTTTCGGGCTCTGACAGCTACGCAAACCTGCAATCGACAGCCGCCTCAAAGCTGAGGCACACGCCAATCGAGAGTGACGACGCCTCTCACGACAGTCCATCGAACTTTTCTCTGCCTCCTCGACACTTCCATCACATGCTTGCGAGCCGCCATCTTCTAACCCAAAACAAAGTTGAAGCGACAAAAAGCACTTCGGTTTCGCCAGACCATAACGCACCAAAAGCGGCGTAGAACGAAGACATCGGATGTCATTGACTCGAGTCTTCTGTGACGTCTCAGCCACACGCGCCTTCCAGTTGCAACTCGTTTATGCCCAGTGTCACATTTTCGTTCTATTTGGGTCGCTGGGGGTCTTTGCGCTTGTCCGACTTTAATCAGTATGTGCCTCTACTTCTGCTCCTAGGGCAGGCATCGTCGAGCTCTCGCTCGAGCCAACCAATAACTCATCCATGCTGGACTGAGCTTCAGCTAGCAAAGCCTCAAATTCCTCGCTGATGTTTTCCTGATTGCGTGGTGAAGTCTCGTCCACGTGTGAGCTGTCGTCCGAATAAAAGGTCTCGCTTGACAGAGTGCGTTCGCGCGGCATCATCGAGAAGGGGGACAGAGACTCGCCACGTTTCGGCTCCATGAAATGCCCCTCAGGTTTGAGCGGGAACGTCTTAATGCGCTCGCGGGCAAAGAGAATCGAGCAAAACTCCTTCAGAATCTCGTCCAGCATCACGTAACCGCACAACAGCCGCGTATCTGCCTCATGCGCATTGAGCTCTGCATCGTTGTCCTCTCCCACGAGCTTTCTGCGCAGTTCCTGCATCTGTGTGACACCGTCGGGTAGACGGCTTAAGCGACGCACCGCATCGGCGTAGACCTCCTCGAATATGCTGCGCAGGCTTTCGCCCGCTGGTAAAGCCTCCTCCAGGTCAAACACTACTGCTGAACATCGCGTCTTCTGAGCTAGCGCGTACAACAAGCCCGACAGTGCCAGGTTTTCCTGGAACGAGTTCTCCAAAAGACGCTCGACGCGACTGAGAACAACGTGCAGGAAGGGCGTCAAGTCGCCCTCGACGCCATCACCACCCAAGCTTGGCGGAAGTGGAGTCCGCTCTCGTAGACCCGCTGGTTCGGCTGGCGAAAACGAAGGCAAACTGATGCTCAAGTACACGTCACGCAGCGGCTTTACTCTGCTGCGCGACGAGACTGTTTGAGTGGAGAACCCTCGCGGAGTCGTAGTGGTCGTATTTGCAGCAGAAGTAGCAGACGCAGGAGATCTTCCGGCTCCGTTCGACTCCGCCACTATCGTCGTCGATAGGTCGTCGATACTCATAGCAACGTCAGCAGATGAAACAACGGTCTCAGCTTTTTCCGATGCGAATACTGTCGTCGTCGCTATCGTACCGTTGTCGTACAAGAAGACGTCGTCATCATCATCGTCATCTACTTTTTCAGGACCGCGCTGGCACGCAGCATACTCGGCGTCAGCAATGTAAGAAAGCAGCGACAGCACCTGGTCTTCCTGGTCGTCTGCTGCCGGGAATTCTGCAGCGAGATCATCGGATCCAGCAAATGCACGGATCTTCCACAGATGAACGTTCGAAGCAACTGATGAATCAGGAAAGCGCGACGCGAACCAGATAGCACCGTTGTTGAGCGCGCTCGGACTTGACAGTGAAGAGGCTGTGGGGGCACGCTTTCGTGGACTAGACGTACCCCCATTATCGGCATTCTGGTCCAGCCGAGTTCCTGCACCCAGCAGTATACGATCTGCGTACTCATCCTGTAACTCCAAGACGCTTGTAAACAGATCGATGGTAGCGATGCACAACGAGCTCGAAAGTGAATCAACGTGTCGCAGTAGCTCTGACGGCAGCCGTTGTGCTCCAGACAGTCGAACCACTTGTCGTTCAGGATCGCCCAGCGCTACCACTTCTTCTTTTTCGACAGTCGCTACGGCGCGAACAGTCCGAAACTTTGTTGATGTGCACTGAAGCAGAAACTGCAAATAAACGAAGAGAAGCGGGTTGGCTCGCGTATCTCGGCCACAGGCTGTCAGTTCTTCCAAAGCAATGCGTGCGTAGAGTGTGGCAGCACAAGCAGCTGCTTCCGACGTGTGCAGCAGTCCCTCGAGTAGTGGACCTTCGAGAAAACGAGTCCGAAATTGATCCAACAGTTCATCTGCAATCGACCGGCGCTGCAGTTCACCTGTCACTTCGTCCACTTCTTCCAGTTCGTATCGCGCTACCATCGCCAGTGTGCAGCAAAATCGCAGTCGCACAGCCAGGAAGCTCAGCTCCACTTCCATGTCTGCGCCGAGATCCGTCGAGCCCACGTCCGAAGCGAAAGGCTTTGACGTCAACGATAACGTCTTGGGCAGCGCATCAAACGCCGAGATCACGCCATTGACCGCGTAGTGGCAGAACGGAGTGAGCTGCAGCACGAATCGACAGAGCGCGTTGTCGTGCATGGCTGCAGCAATGACCAGCGCTTCGCGGCACTGGTCGCCGATTTTCCCCACAGCGTACATGTGTGGCAGCAGACCGGTAAACAGTATCAGCTCGGGCACTTCGCTCTGCGTGTGGTGGTTGTGGAGATGCAAAAACGGGTCGTCGCTCAGCGACCACAAGTGCGTCGAAGCGTCGTTCCGGCGATGGATCATGTCGCTCGTGCGGATCATGAGGCGGTCGGCATGGAGGAAGAAGAACTCGGTCTGCACGGGGTCGCCCTGCAGCTTCTTCCACACAATGTTCAGCAGACTAATGAGGTACTTGCGCACGGTCGGGTCCTCCACCTCTTTGCGTGCAGCTGCTTGAATCAATGCCACCACTGCCACGTGCACCTCGCGCGTGGGCAGCACAGGGTAACTCACGCGACTCAGCAGCGCTGCGACAAACTGCATGGCGAGCGACATGATGCCGCAGGGCTCGTCCCGTCGTCCTGCTTCACAGAGGTGCGGGATGATCTGCTTCAAGAGCAGGTACTCGAGGCACTCGTGCGACGCGTGCTCGAGCGGCGACGGCGGCAGCAGCGCCGACGGCGAGTCGCTGCTCCGGGCGTCCACAGCAGCAGCGTCCAGCGTCTTGGGCCGCGCCAGCTCCATCATCTCCCACCGGTCCGAGTTGTTCTCTTCTTCGTAGATCAGCAGCACGAGCTTCAGCAGCGAGTCGCGCGTGTGGCTCTCGAGCAGCAGCCGGCGCTGCTCGGCGGGCTCGAGCTCGCGCGCCACGACCGACTCGAGGAAGCGCGCGACGATCGTCCAGCGCTGGTGGAACTCGTCCACGCGCGACTCGTACAGCGTTGGCGTGATCAGGTCGGCCGCCTGGGCGAGCGCGTCGGACGCGCGGGCGGCCACGAGCCGCAGCTTGGAGCGCAGCCAGCTCATGACGGGTAGACGGGTGGACGGGCGGACGCAGCGACGAGGGCGAGTGGGGGAGCGGGTGCGTGGGCGACGGCGAGGGGCAGAGGGCCGGCGGGCGACTGATGCGGCGGCGGCCGGGAACGGGTCGAGTCGGGTGGTGACACGTCAAAAGTGATAGGCCCTCGACGGACTGAACGGGTCGGCTGAGCCCGAGAGGGACATGGGCAAAGGTGAGTCAGTGCACGAGGGAACAGCCGCAGGGCCGTTGCGCGCTCTGCTCGATCGCTATTTCTATCGCTCCCTATCTTGCGCTATTTCTATCGCTCTCCATCTTGCGCTATTTCTATTTTTGATCCCTTTGTTGTTGAGCAAACGGCAGGCGGGCGCAGGAGGCGGCTGTGAAATGGGTCTTTTTCGAGCGCTCGCTCGGCGACTTTGCACTCGGTAAGAAAGTCAGACTTGATATTAATCGATTATGATGGACACCGTAAAGCGTGACGGATTGCTATAACAACCTCTTGCGCCAGTAGTAGCCTAGAAGCACTCACGGGACGGGTTCATCGCTCGGCCACGGATACGTGCATCAGCTGCTCGAACGCGATCTCAAAGCTCGTCGACTCGATGCTCGCTGCCAGTCGTCGCAACATCCGCATCTGTCTTGGCTGCTGTAAAAGGCTCCACAAGTTTAGCAAGGACCTCGTTCATAGCAGACGTGAGACTGCTGTCTGTCTCCTCTGCGCTAACAGGGGCTGACGATTCGTCCACTACGGACTCAGTTGTCTCGTCATCGACATGTACGCGCGTATCCGCATGCGGCGCCTCGTCAGTTGCATCAGTCGCATCATCCGAGTCAGCGGTAATTGAGGCTACTTCAGCCGCCACTGCTTCGTCGCCCGCCACGGAATCTCCATCAGTAGTCACCACGTTCACTTCTTCATCATCAGAAAGAGGGTCGACCTCATCAACAGGAGGCGATCCTTCAGTCTCTGCAACATACGCGACTACGCCCTCTGCCATGTCATCGTGTCCTGCCGTCTCAGCAGCAATTGGATCGTCCAAGCCTTCGGCTGCACCAACACTGGCAGTCTCGTCGATCTCGACCTGTTCGTCCACTTCCATGCCATGCTCAGCAGACACCACTTCAACATCATCCATCACGTCTACACCTTCAGCCACCATCGATTCCTCGCCGAGCTCGCTAACTAGGCCAGGCTCTGGCGCAAACTCTTCCGCTTCGATATCGCGGTCAGCAGTGGCTTCGGTATCTTCGTTGCCCGCCTCATCCATCTCGTCCGTAGCCTCGTCGAAGTTCTCTACTTTCGCCTCAGACGTCGAAGCGTATTCGTCAGTAGTTGCATCGGACTCTGCTGCAGCCGCCAAAGATTCTCCACTGTCTTCGACCAAGCCAAAATCTTCGTGCTCAGCGTGTTCCGATAAGTCCTGCGCCACGACATCCTCGTCCACACTCGCAGTGTCGTCCTCAATCTTCGACTCGCTGTCTTCCTGCCCCTCATCGAGAACGGTGGGATCGTCATCGTCTACTTCATTCGTTTCAACCACACGCCCATCGTCATCGGCTGACGGAAGTTCCCCCACTACAGCAGAAGCGGCCAGCTCTTCGTTATCACTTTCGATCGACAAGGACCTGTCGTCCGACAAATATGCTGTGGCGTCCGCTGGCAAAACTTCTGCTGCAGTCACGCCATCCGAGTCAGAACCTTTCTCGGTCTGAGAGTGTGTCAAACTGCCACCACCGTCGCCTTCGAATGGAGTGACCTCTCCGTCCTCAGGCATTGCATCGACTTCAACTTCAGCATCGATATCGTCAGCCAGCCCGTTCTCGTCAGTATCCGGCTCCGGTTCCTCGTGAAGCGAACCCGGCGCATCTTCCTCGACACCTGACGCTAGCTCCAACTCGTCGACGTCAACAGGAATCGACGAATCGTCGTCGTGTGTGACGAACTCGAGTTCCGAGCTCAGCTCAGCTTGATGCTCCGTTTGTGAGACTTCGATCGTCTCCTCGTCACTATGTCCCCCATTTGCTTCGAGCGCATCACTTTCTACGCCAACGTCCGGCTCCACATTCGTCACATCAGCATCAGCATCAGCGCCGCTGCTGGTGTGCGTAGCGGATCCCTCGTCGGCAGTACTCGTCTCAGGTAATACGAACGCCGTTTCTTCACTCGAAATAGACGACGCGTCACCGCTGGCGAGCGAAGGCAGGAGGTCCACATGCATCGATGAATCGGACACCTCACCGGACGCAGTGTCAGCCTCTTCTGTCGACTCTCTCTCGGGGTACAACAAGTCTAGACCCTCCTGATGCACTTCCACCTCCACGACTCTCTCCGCTTCGGCCACAGAATCGTCAGTTGACGTCTCAACGTTGCCTTCTACTGCGACCTCGGGTGCTCCTTCAGCAGTAGTAACGGCAACGTTATCAGCCGCGTCATCCAATACTGCGATCTCAGTTTCAGACGCGTCATCAATACCACCAGTAGACTCGGTGATAGCTGCATCTGCTACTTCGGTCTCGGCAGATTCGCCATCGGCGTCACCAACAGACTCGTCATCTTCAGCCAAGTTGTTCACAACGCCGCCCGAAGTAGCCTCTACATCAGCCCTTGCTTCAATCTCATCGCTTGCCGCCTGCTCGCTAGCATCAATCGACCCAGCCATCTCCAATGACAAGGTGTCGTCCACCTCCAGCATGTCGGTTGACTCTTTTGCGGCCTGCTCATCTCTCTTCGTTTCTGATGGCAAGCTCTCTCCAGTAATGGTCGTCACGTCACCCACAGCGGGAATGCCATCCTCGCTCTCCACCAGCACACCGTCCGGCGCAGTAGTGTCGATCTCGTCAGCCATATCGGACATGACTTCCTCGTCCTCCGCCAACACAGCCTCTGCTACACGTGTGTCGAGCTCCTCGATTTCAGGCTTCTCGTCAAGCACGTCGCTGATCTCCTCGACAAAAACTTGATCCAACACACCAGGCGTCACCGCAAGTGGTTGGTCCTCAACCAGCTCCTCTTCCTCTTCCATCGATAAGGTATCCGCATCATCGTTGCCGACAAGATCGTCGATGTCTGCCTCAGCATTCTGCTGGTGTGAGTCTGCGTGCTCATCGGTGTCGCCGTCTTCATCCAAGGATGAAGCGTCACCGTAACCATGGTCGACGTCATGTTCCACGACCGGCAACTCCTCCGAAGTCATGCCTGACTCTGCCAACTCAAGGACGGACGTCCACACGAATGAACCGACATCCAATGACAAGTCCACCACGGGCTTGACATAGCTGTCAACAAACTCTTGCGAGGGCACTTGTGCCTTCACAGTCGCGACCCACGGTGCCCCGAAAGAACCAGGCGAGAACGGAACCATTCTCGCCAAATTGACAGCATCTTCGACTGAATAATTGGCAAACAACGCACTTTCGCGCGCCTTCCACTCTGAGCAAAAGCAGGCGTCCGGGTGTGACTGACCCATGTAGTCCGCAACGCGCTCGTACGTAAAAGTCTCCAGCTCCTTCTTCAGCACAGAACACTCCTCAGCACCTTCCAACTCTTGCTCCTCACTGTCTAGAGAATGACACTCCCACGCATCCAATACGATAAAGCTGACAAAAACAACGCCGGACGAGAAATATAGCAGCAGCGAGAGCCAAAACACCAGCGAGACGGTACGAACGAAACAGCCGCGCCGCTTTCCAGTAGCCTTACTGCTCAAACGAGCAAGGTGTGCGCGCTCCAGCACGTCCAGACTTTCTTCCAGCCGTTTCACACTCAGAGCTCCGTACTTCCCCTTCAGCAACGCAACAAGCTCACGCTCCTTGCCTGCGTACTGCTTTGCGACAGCAGGAACATTCTTCAGCTTATCAGGCTGGTGATTCTTATACAGCTCGTTCAGCAAACTTTCCAAGGTCACAACAGGAGGTTCGGCATCACCACTACCATCCTGGCTGGAAACAGACGCCTGGCGACGCTGGCGAAGACCCAACGATGCAGCACCGCTGCTCTCCGTTTCCGTCTGAGGAGGAAACGGCCGATGACTGAATGGCTCTGCACGACGTTGGGACATGGGAAAGGGGCCACGTTTGAATGCGGAGCCAGCCTTGCCACCTGCAACAGCTGCACTTACTTCTCCACTTGTCTCTTGCGAGTTCGGGAACGAGCTGTAAGGGCCAGATGGAGGCGGCATGTCGCCTCCAGAATGACGCTGCTGAGACGAAAAAGTACCCGCAGAAAGGCTTTCGCTCGGACTCGGAGGGGTCTCAACCTCTGGCGCAACCTGTCGACTCTGAAGGCGCGACGCGTCCATCTCGTGAGGATCAGCAATCGGAGCGGACATCGAAGGCGGACCTGCACCGGTGGCGGACTCCACGTTTCCATCAGGTGCAGGAGGATGGAAGAACTGTGTATGTTGTGGGTGACCTCGACGTCCCTGTTCCGCATGATTTGGGGCATCAGGCGGCCTCGTCGCGTGTTGAGCCTCCGCACTATCGGTGCGGCTGGTATCAGCAGACACATCGCCACCACCACCGCTTCCAGTGTTAAATCGAGCCTTCAGCACTGCCACCTTCGCCGCACCGTATCGCTTCGTTAACTCAGCGAACAGCCACTTCTCGCGGCCTGCGTACCGCTTTCCGTACACCTTCGCCATCTTCAGTCGTTTGTTGTCAACTTCCGTGAAGAAGTCGACAAGCAACGTTTCCAGCGACACAGGCTCGGTAGGCGCAGCCGAACTATCGTGTTGCATGAACGAAGTGGTATCAGCCACCTCGCTCTTGTTCGCGAAAGAAGGTGAGGCAGGAGGAACGCTCGATGGCGGGACACTGGAAACGCCAAAAGCGTTTTCTGCGCCAATCGTGAATCCTTGCTCTGGCGCAGTTACTTGCGTGTCCATACGAGTGCCTGAAGACGGCTCTAGCGGAGACTGAGCGTGCTCTACTGGAGGCTGCAACGGCGGCATAGAGGTTGTGAACTCGGCAGGATTCAATGAAGAAAGCGCTGCCACGTCTTCGTTGGTTCCACCTTCAAATCTCGTAGGTGGAGCTGCCGAACTTACAGACGAGCGTCGTTCTGGTTGGCCTTGGAATGTGTCAAACCCTGTGCCACCGGTGTATGTCGCATAGCCATCCGGTGAAATGCTCGTACCATCCTTTTGCTCCAGCAAGTCGCCCATGCCTGGAGGCGTCACGGCAGCGAAAGTATCTGGAAGGGCCCGCGAAGGGAGTTCCATACGAGAAATCTCGTTTTCGCTCTGCAAACTATGCGCAGCGTTTTGCGCCTCTGGCGTTACCCGGCGCGGAGACGCGAGTACTGACTTGAGCTCATACTGTCCATGTGCACTCGTTGCCGAGCTATTCATCGACGAATGAGCAATTGGGGTGGACGATGACACCACCGGATCGAATTCTGTGGACCCAATGGTAAACACAGGAGGATGGTTCGTCACAGCAGCTACACCTTCCGACGCCCACGGGTCCCATAGTGGTCGCTCCGGTGATCGAGAAGGTGATGCGAACTGAACAGGTCGATGGGTCACATTGGTCTGGTCTGGTTGAACAGGGGTCGACGACGATTGTTCTTGTGGCATCTCGTGCTGAGTGGGTGCATCGCGGGTCGGCGGCGAGACGACTGTTGTGTCGACAGTTGCATCGACCACGTTCGGCACACCTGTCCCAGTTCCTGCTGCACCTTCTACCCGAGGGCCCGCTTCTTCGGCAATGGACGACAGCCCGTCCACATTGGACGAAGCCGACATAGCAGCCTCTGCTTGCCTTAGTTTGGCTGCGAGATCGCGAATAAGCCGTTCCTGTTCCTCTACTTTTTGCCGAGCAAGCTCGCGGTCCCGCTCAATTTCCTGCATCGTGCGCTCCAATGCACCCACTTTCGACAGCGACATGGACAGCTCCTCTTCGGTATGCTGCTTATTCTTCACGAGCTGCTTGCGCAACGTCGCTTCCGATAGCTGCAGCTCCCGCACGTACCCCATGAGGCTATTCACACTTGCGCGCGTGGGCAGCAGCGTGGACGCAACCAACTCTGTACCGCGCATTTGACGCAGCTTCTCGATCGAAAAATGGGGCACCCTCGTATCGGCAAATGTCGAGGGACATGACTGTGGGCCGTTCTTTTCCTCATCGTACACTGAAGACGAAGAAGAAGATGGAGGAGGAGTCACATGAACATTCTCCGAGCCCGACGTACGAGGACCTGCAGGTCCTTTCGTTTGCTGCACTGGCACCTCGACGCGCACGGGCTGAGTCGCTTTCTTCTCACTACGATTGTCCATCACAGCAATACTGTCCCGCGCTGTCCTGGGCGACTGGACGCCGACTCCATTTCCACTGCCAAACGTCTGCTCCTGACCAGCAACACCGCGTGACTGCTCCACTGCCGATCTACCAAAGAGCGTCGACGCAGCTGGCATCGCGTTCAGCTGCTCTGTGTCCGGCAGGCTGTCCCTCGTCACCACGGACGAGGCCCAGCTAAGTCTCGACACCTGCTCCTGGTCGCTGTGCGCTGCGCCAACCGCACCCAGCGAATCAATCTCACTGCCACTCCAGCTCACGTTACTGTCCATAGAAGACGGACGCTTGCGGTGCTGGCCGTACAATGGAGACTACGAGCCACCCACCGACCGCCACACAGGCACAGCCACACACAGACAAAGAGAGAGGTAGAGAGAGAGAGAGAGAGAAGAGAGAGAAAACATTCACAGCCATTAGTTGCCACCGACCAGCCCATTTCTCCATACAAAAGCGCATATCAACGAGCGTCTGCGTACATTGAGGCGTCCACCCCCTTGTCCTGGTCGCCAGCCGCGTGTGGCGACGCCTGCAGTCGCCTGACGCGCAGGCGCTGGCGCCGATACGCCGCCAGCGACCGGAGGCGGCAGTTGCAGCGTCTCGTCTCGATCACGTGGAGCCGACTGCGTGCGTCGGTCCCATCGCGCAGAGAGCGACTGCGCGTTGAAAGCGCGCGGCGGTGGCGCGTCGCTCTCCATGGCTCTTGACTGGGGGTTTGGATTCTGGGCGCTCGTTCGGTGGCAGTAGCAGTGGCCATGGGGACGGGCGACACGAAACAGGGCACCGACCACCGGTCGCGGCGGTGGATGTTGCGCGAATGTACACGACCCGTCCGGATGCCACCGCACGCACGCACGCGCTTCATCCGGCGATGCAGAAGTCGATTGACGCGTTCCTCGGCGCGCGTACGGACGCGCGCGTGGCAGAGGACGTGCGGTTCAAGGTACCGTTCCTGCCACTGACGGCGCCGGAGGTACCGACGCCGCTGTCGTTCCGTGCCGACGTGCCGCTGTACGAGCACCAGCGCCGGTCGCTGTACCGCATGCAGCAGATCGAAAGCCGCGACGAGCGCGTGGCCAAGTTTAACTTTGGGATGCTCGACTACTACTCGAAAGGCGGGTGCCTGGCCGACGCCATTGGCATGGGCAAGACCGCGACGATGCTGGCGCTGCTGGCAGACGAGCCGCGGGACTATGCAGTCGGTGCGAACTTACTGGTCGCGCCGTCGCATCTGCTCGCGCAGTGGAAACGTGAAGTCGACAAGTTTGTCAAACCCGGCGAGATTGACGTTGTCCTGGGCCTGCAGCGGTACATGCAGCTGGTGGAAAATCCAGCAGCGCGCGCGGATATTTCCAATCGCATGCTCGTGCTCGTGGGCGTCGACGAAGCCGTCAAGTCGAGGAGCTACTACTATCGGTATGGGAAAGTGTACCCGTTGGAGAGCAGAGGCCGTGGGAAACCGCTGGTCGTGGCGCCCACTGTGCTGCAACAGTACGAGCAAGCAGCCAAGTTTGTGCACAAAGCGTACTGCGGACCGCTGTGGGTGACGTTACTACACCTGCCGCTGAAATCTTGGCGACGGGTGATCTTCGAAGAGGTGCAAGACTTGGTACTGCCTGGAAAAGATGCGAGGGATTGCTTTGTCCAACTCACGTATCGGTGCTCGAACGTATGGCTGATAACTGCGACGCCGTTTCCCGGCAAAGCAGAGTCGATGTATGCGAACAATCAGCTGCTGGGGTTCAAACGGCTGCGGCTGCTGCCGCATGACCCTGCATTTGATGAAATCAAACGGAAGCTGTATCTCCGCAACTGCGCACAGGTAAAGCAGAAGGCAATCACTGACAAAATCGAGGTGGACGAGATTTACATCCCGGTCAAGCTTCATCCCCAAGAGCTGTTGTTGTACAAGATTGAACGAGTTCTGGCCGCGAAAAAGTCTGCATACGACGTCTTTGCTCTCGGCGATGTCGACGATCAGACTGATCGTAGAAAGAAGGGTGCTGCCGACACAGTGATGCCAGAGCAGTCATCCGTGAGCGGTACGGATGCGCTGTCGGAGACGGTATGGGCAGAGCAGTACCACTCAGCTCGACAAAGTTGCGTGCACGCCGGCATTTCCGATCGGGTGCTGGAACGGGAGCATGGGGGTAAGCAAAGCAGCTCGAGTGCGACCCCGGCGTCGACGATGGTCAAGACCAAGAGCCCGAGTGAGACGTTTCGCGACGAGAAGTATCATTTGAACCGGCAGTTGGCTGTGGCAACCAAACACATGGATGAAGTGGATCTGATGGAGGCTGCAACGCGCAACACAGTCGCGATCTGCCGTGCAATTTGCTCGAATACGTATGCCAATGTGCTCCAGTGCTTCGAAGACTTGGAGGCGTCTGGTCTAAGCAAGTTCTTTAACGAAAGCGGAGAAACTACAGCCGGCTTCCGGATGCTCTATAAGCACTACCAGTTCGGCGACGACGTTCCGGAGCCAGCGGAGCTGCTTTTCTACCACCAAAGTGAGATTGAAGATTACATACTGAAGCACTTCGACACGATGGGCAAGGTCAGAAAACTGGCCAAGACCATGGAGGTCACACTCAACGAGCGGTGTCCACGTGCCCGCGCTCTCGTCGAAGAGCAGCTGAAGCAGGTGACAGAGTGCGTCGCACTTATTGAGTCGGAACAGGCTTGCAAACATGACGATATCGAGAAAGTGCCAGTGTACGGTAGCAAGATATCGGCACTGGTGCAGTACTTGAGCCGACTGCCGACGATCAAAGTCGTGGTCTTCACGATGTGGGATCGAGCATTGCGAGTTGTCGACAAGGCGCTCCGTCTCGCCAACATCACTAGCGCTGTGTTCTTGCAGCATCAGTCAAGCGAGACAAAGTCTGCCCACGTCGCCTCTTTTCACAGCGGGGATACCCAAGTCCTCATCTTGAACTCAATCACAAGTGCATCTGGAATCAATCTGCAGGTGGCATCGCATGTCCTCTTCTTGGACCCGGTCGGATACAGTCCCACGCAGGCCAGCACATTGGAGCAGCAGGCGATTGGCCGTGTGCTGCGAATGGGCCAGACGAACGATCTCGTGACTGTTGTCCGGTTCGTTGCGGAGGACACGATCGAGGCCGCACTGTACGATGATATCCACGAAGCATCGACAAAGGCCGTAGCAGCTGACGAGTCATTTTTTGACGGCGAACGGGAGGACGCGTACGTGTGTGCCGACTTTGCGGCACCGATTCGCCGACTCGTGCGCATGAGTGCCGCTCCAACTGAAGACGGCGCTCAGGCAGTCGACGAGGAGATTGAGCTCGAGGGGTCCATGTCAATCGAGGAAGCCATCACTCATCGAATACAGCAGGCCATCGCAGAAGGCGAAGTGTTTGACCTGACGGAAGACGCACCGGCAACGCTGGAGCAGCAGCTGGCAGCTGCTCGGGCTAGTGATGTCACACCGCAGAGAAAAAAGCGTCGAACTCGTGGACGAGCTGCCACTTCGAGCACGATCGACGCAGTAGGTGTTGTTAGGGAAGTTGTAGTCAAGAGTGAAACGTAACACGCTTTGCAAGGTGATCGCAGTCGCTGACGGTTGTTGCCCTGTTGTCACGTGTCCATCATGGGGCATGAGGGGCGTAGACCGTGCACACGTCACTGGCGCCAATCGCTTGCCGAAGATCGTTAGTGTACCTGTGGACACATCTGCACTTGTGCATCATCAGGTACGCTTTATGTACCTGCACCTGCTCGTCCACGCACAGAGCAGTGACGTGTCGCCGGACACGGCCAGTCATCATCGTGGGCGGATCAGATACAACACATAACAGAGCAACACACATCGCGACATCAGCAGTGGCAACAGCAGCAGCAAACGTAGAGCGGTGGGTCAAAGAGGTCAGTTTCCTTGACTTATCAATGCGACAACCGGTGCGGGTGCACTCACTATACAGACGTCTCTTTGTCACTCGTCGTGCAGCAGTTACTTTGCGTAACGCTTCATCGACACGACATGAATGGATGGCAACGACCGTAGCAGCAGCAGCAGCAGAGCAGCTGCTTAGAGCTCGCCACAGTTGGCCACGACCACGGGCTTCGTGGTCTTGCCCGCCTGCGTGCCGACAGACTCAATGTTCTTCACCACGTCCATGCCCTCCACGACACGGCCAAACACCACGTGCTTGCCGTCCAGCCACGCCGTCTCGACCGTGCACACGAAGAACTGCGAGCCGTTCGTGTCGGGCCCGGCGTTCGCCATCGACAAGATGCCTTCGCCCTTGTGCTTGAGCAAAAAGTTCTCGTCCGGGAACTTCTCGCCGTAGATCGACTCGCCGCCCGTGCCGTTGCCGCGCGTAAAGTCGCCGCCTTGGCACATAAAGTTGGGGATCACGCGGTGGAACGCGCTGCCCTTGTAGTGCAGCGGCTTGCCCGAGCGGCCCACGCCCTTCTCGCCCGTGCACAGCGCCCGGAAGTTCTCGGCCGTCTTGGGCACCTTGTCGGCAAACAGCTCAAACACAATGCGGCCCACGGGCGCGCCGCCAACGGTCATGTCGAAGAACACACGGGGGTTCGGCATCGTCAACTGTTGCGGCTCTTCTTAGTCGGAGTCTTGTGCTTGCGACGTGGGGAATACGCGAGTGAGGACACAGATAGAGAGGACAAGCGGGCGATTGCGGGGGGAAAAACCTCTTGGCTACCGTATCGCGAGAAACACCTCGCGAAAGATACGGCCCTTTGCAAACGGATATCACATTCGCAAGGCATCGCGCGCCACCGGTTGACTGGCTGCGGCCCGAGCGTCCACTTCAACATTGTCGCCCACGCGGAGCCACACAGTAGTGCCTGAGGCCGACGCGAGGAACTGACCAAAGAAGATACTGCTGCGCTGCCGTCGGTAGCTGGACAGCACCTGCAGTGGCTGGCGGCGGAACTCGCCCGTGTGCGGGTCCACGTTGATGACGTTGCAGCGACTGCACGGACCCGAGACGTCAAAGGCGCCGTCGCCGATGCGCACGTGCTGCCACGTGTCTTCGTCAAACGACTCGGCGCATCCATCGACAATGAAGTTGGCTCGGAATGCGTCTTCACTGATGTGTATGGACGCGTGGGACGCAGTGAGCTTCGAGCTGAAGTTGGCCACGCTCTGGCGGGAGATGAGCAAGTACTGTGCCTGGTTGGCAAACCCGATCGACGGACGATGACGCACGTGGCTGGTAGCTGGGACTTTAGACTGTTGTTGGCTTGCAGCACTTGCAGTGGTGTTCGTGGTCGTTTCGGTGTGAGGTGTCGGTGCGGTGCGGGTGTGGTCGTTCGGCACGCGCATGAGCGCGCAGGGCCGACCAAGACATGAGCTTAGCCATCGAGAGACGTCAGAGCCTACTTCGCTGCCTTGAGACTTGTCACTGCAAACGCTCATGCTTCGCTCGTCGCCTTTGTTGTACTGCTGCGCCGCTGCGACGTTTGTGCGTAACAATATGGTGACCGACTTTGAACACGCTGCAGGTTGCCGCGACATGGAGCTGTCGTTAGGCGCGCGATACGAGATCGTCAGTGTGTCTTGTTCCAGATCAAGGACGGGGTGTACAAAGCATAGCTCTGGCAGCGCCTTGAGTGTCAGCGCTTTGCCGGTTGACACATCCACGATCGCGAATTCTCGGTCAAACAGCAATCCTCTCGATCCGATAGGCCAGGCATCGACGATCATACCGGAACATGATTTGATCGGGTAAAGAGTGATCTTGCAGAGATAAGGTCCCTTCAATGCAGGCTTGATGGACGGCGATGTGGACTGTAAACTTGGAGCTGGCGCTGCCATTCTGCAGACAAAATAACTGGACACGAATGCTAGAAAAGCTACAACGTCTTCGAATGTTGTCATGTACCCAATCGACAAACGAACTGCACCAGTGGGTAGTCCATTGACCACATCAATGCTGTCTCCACAGACATGACCGGCTTCAGCGTTCGACATCAAGTCAGCGTCTTTCAACTCGAGGTAGTGCTGACACGCACCTGGATTGCAAAAGCAACCAGTTCGCAAATGGATGTCGTGAATGTCGGCTAGTTTGTTTACTTCGCTATACCCGACATAGCTGCCGTCCGCCCGAAGGAAATTGCACGCAACAATGGGCCCCTGCTGATCTGCAGTCGCTTGGCTGCTCGTATTGCCATACACCTTGCAGATTGGTCGCTTGTTCCCATGCTTCATCGCAACTAGCTGTCCAACAAGCAGCCTCCTTAGAGCTGTAGTGTGGGCTGAGATGTTAGCCATGCCCAGCTTCTCGACTTGCTCGAATCCGTGACGCAAAGCTATGATCGACAGGAACGACTGCGTGCCATCCGCAAAACGAGAGCTCGTGTCCGCCACGTCGGCCACTCCACGTGGAACGTAATAATTGCGCGTGGCTGAAATGCTCTGCACTGTTCCACCGCCATGGTAGTGCTTCGTCAACTGCGACATGGCAGATTTACGCATGATGAGTGCGCCAAGCCCTGTAGGGTAGCCGAAGATCTTGTAGAACGAGAGCACAACGAAGTCGGGGTGGTGTGTCGAGAGATCGAGACGGTCGGTCGCTACGTACTTGGCTGCATCGAGCAGTACCAGCCATCGTGTGTTCTTGTTAGCTGAGCTTTTCCAGCGACCAGCACGGACTTGGTCCAATATAGCGCTCATGTTGTGGCGCGTGCCGCTAAAGTTGCACTCTGCCGGGAACGCAAACAAACTCGTCGACGCAGCTTCTGAGGGGGGGTCGAAAGACAGCGAGCGCGCATTGTCAGCTGAGCGCTGTTCGCTGCCGGGCGTCCCTTGCTCCTTGAGTTGCTTGAGCTCACTGAGTCCGACACATTGGGTCGCTGACCCCCGAGCTGCCGCATACTCTCGGATCCCAAGCACGCTCGTGTGTGAGTCCATAGAGTACGCAAAGGTGCTGTCGTTCGTCCACGGAAAACTCTCGCCAATGAGCTTTAGTGACGCGGTCGCTCCCGACGTGAAGATCAGCGTATACTCTTCTTCACTGGCCGAGAAGAACGCCAGCACTTGACGTCGAACGGCTTCGATCTTGGCTGTCGTCGACGCGATAGGGCTCCGGTCCGTTGCACTGTGAGGATTCGTAAACAGTCCCGTTTGCAGCTCGTGGAACGCAGCGTCGAGCTGCGTCTTGGCGTACAGTGTGGCGCCTGCGTGGTCCAAGTAAACGCTCTGTTGCAGCTGAGGGAACTCGTTCAGACGCATCGCGTCGACTCGCAGCGTCGCGTGGCCTCCGTATCCGTACGCGCCATTGCTCTCGGCCACAAACGCCGTCTTTTGTCCACTGAGTGCTGCAACGTCTGCGTCGTCCGTCGCTGGACCGTCTGCAGCTCTCGGCGTCATGTCGAGCGACTCGGAACCGAAGCGGCTGAGTGAGTGAGTGAGTGACTGACCGACCGACTGACCGCCGCAGTCGCACAAGTGGCCGGTCGGGTCTTCGATGGCGTTTGTCGTCGTCTTTGACGGACGCCGTACGCAGGTGAAGAAGGACTGTTCCCTTTTGTCGAGGGAATCGCATCAAGAGCGTGGATCGATCACGTGATTGGTCCATCCGTTCTCTCGTTTTTTGTATGAACTCCAGCACAGACCGAACCAAAAGTACGACAACAATACCGCCGTAGCAATAACGACCGATACGTCGACTCACAGCAGACGAGTGATACAGAGAGCTCAATAGAGGACAGACACAACTTCGGTAGAGGACTTTACTAGCATCGGTGTCGTCGCTGACAGTAACGGTATACGGACATGCCACTGCCTGTATCGGAACTCCTCACTCAGTTGATTCTTCGAGCGACACCCGACACTGCACAAGTCGGTACGTTTGCTACTGGGATGTGCTCGATTGACCAGATTGAAGGCACTCTGTTGCTAGCGCGTGTGGCTCGTGCTCACCTGACAGCGCCCTCTTTCTCCACTACACTCTTGACGAAAAGTCTGACACACGGAAAGCAGTCGATCTCGCACGGAATGGTGCAAGTCGCAGCGTGTCTGTCCATACCATCTGGAGCATCGATTATCGATCTTGTCGTGTCATTTGGACACCTGACATGGCGTCACGCTCGCTCTCGCACTTGATGATGGATGTGTGCTCGTACTAACTTGACGGCGTGAATGTGTGGGCTCAGTAGGCGCAGCGTCCCGCCCGCACAGCATTCGATGCAGCTACAAACCAATTGTCCGGTATCGTCTGTTCAGACGGTGACAGTGACGCTCGCAACGCATTACACAGTATATCGCAAACAGCGATCGCACAAGCTGAGCAGTGTACAGGCAGATCATCATCGATTGTGCAGTTGTGGCCAAGGCCCTCTCACATATACGTATACAACGAACAACTCGGGCAAACGCTGTCACGAAACGTCACGTGCAAACAGTTGCGGTACCACACTCGTCCGTTAGTATGTGGACCTGCAGTAGGCACTCGCTGCATCAACAGAGTCGACATATCGGACCATACTGAGCTCGAATGGGATTTGGACCTCGTGGTGTATCCACCATACAGTGCAACTAACTACCCACTCAGCTCGCGCGGTTCCATGCTTTGTCGCGACAACTTGATTTCACTATGGCCATCGCCCATTGACAAGACGGTTCGTGGCCTTTTGTCCACACCTTTTTTTCGCGTTAGTCAGTCAGTCAGTCAGTCAGTCATAGTCAGTCAGTCAGTCAGTCAGTCAGTCAGTCAGTCAGTCAGTCAGTCACTCGGCCACAGGTCTGCAGCAAAGATGGCCGAAGCACACGCCGCCGCCCATGACGCCAGTCGCAAGCGCAAGCGCCGCAAGAACCGCAAGCACAAGCAGCAGCCGCTTCTGCGCGGCCACTACGTCGACCCGCTGTCTCCCATCGCGTCTACGCCCATGAAGCGCCAGCGCGCCAAAGCAGCAGTAGCAGGTACCAACGTAGTTGCCGCCATCTCTCTTCCTTGACTGACGGACGCTGACGGGGGTTATCGTACTTGTCCAGACACCACCAAGTCGATCAAGTCGAAGGCTGCGACATCGTCAGAAGCTCGAGACCGGAAGGACGGGTCCAAGTGCAAAGGGGAGGAAAAGTTCTTCTCGCCGCGAAAGCTGCTGGCGGAATGTGATGAGGAGCACGAGGGGAAGCGATCGGGGGCGAAGAAAGCACGGACAAAGTTGCGCTATGACTCAGTGACGGTATCCGACAACGAGCAGGAACAGATAGAGGAGGAAAACGACGATGAGGAGAAGGCGGTGGTGGACGCGGGCAAAGACGGGTTGTTCTCGCCGGCGCTCAAGCCCCCGCGGGCGTCGCGATCTAGTAGCGCGTCTCCACCGAATGCTCAGGGACGACTGGACATAAAACTCAGACCCGACTGTGTGCAGCCGGACGACCGACTAGAGGACGACGTTGCGCTAGCTACCGAAGTTGTTGCTGCTGCTGCTGCTGACGTGGCAAATGAAGACGAACATGAGGAGGAAGACGTCACGCTGATGGAGCAAGAATTTAATCCGTACGAAGATGCATGAAATGAGCTTTGTGGACAGCGGTACATGTGCTTGCCGAATGGACTCACTTACGCTTGCTGGTGTGGCATCCAGGTTTTACTTTATGAAGACATTGCCGAAGTATGAGGATATCACGAAAGGCAAAAGGCCCGTTTCGCTACCAGAGCGGTCACGCAACGCGCCAAAGATTTGCTTGGTATGTTGTCGTTTGTGCATTTGCATGCTGAGTAGACTAATGACGCACATCCTGGTTCGGTAGGTCTTGGACTTGGACGAGACTCTCGTGCACTGCAGCGTGGACGAAGTCAAGGATCCACACATGCAGTTTCCGGTATGCTTGATGCACTTGAGACTCGCTAGCTGTGCATGTCTCGCTGACCCGGTCCGTCTCTCTGTGGTGCCGGGTGTAGGTCACATTCAATGGTGTCGAGTATACAGTCAATGTGAAGAAGCGTCCACACATGGAGTACTTCCTCAAGCGTGCGTCCAAGCTCTTTGAGATCGTCGTGTTCACCGCCTCTCACCAGGTATACGCTGAGAAGCTCATGAACATGCTGGACCCGCACCGCAACCTCATCAAGTACGCTTGTTCTGCAAGATCACTTGCCATCTGCCATGACCCTGATTTCTGTCTTGATTGCGCCACAGGTATCGACTGTACCGAGACGATTGCCTCGATGTGTTTGGAAACTACCTCAAGGATCTGAATGTCCTCGGGCGAGACTTATCGAAGGTCGTTCTGGTGGACAATTCCCCCCACGCATTCGGATATCAGGTACACCGCCAAGCACACGCGCAACTGTACGTCGCATGCACTCACTTTCTCTGTTGCTCTCTTGATCTGCCGCAGGTGAACAACGGCATTCCCATCGAGACGTGGTACGACGACGAAGCGGATGCCGAGCTACTGAACCTGCTGCCCTTCCTAGAAAGCCTCGTCGATGTCGATGACGTGCGTCCGATCGTAGAGAGACAATTTCAAGTCCAAAAGCTGATTGACGCCACGCCTGACGGGATCCTCTAGTGCTGCTACTGCCACTGCTACGATCGCTGGCCGCACAGCTCGAGACATCAAAGCAGACCGAAACACAGTATACACCACGTTACCCCACCGATGACGACCGGTCGTCCCGCCAGTATACACTGCTCTTTTTTCGGACTCTTGATTGGTCGAATTACTGAACGACACGTCGTCTGATTGGTCCGACTTCCCGTCATGCGATTGTTTCGTTTCTTTCGCATCATTAAGACGGGTGCGATAGCCTCCAAGACGTGACGATCTCGCTCTGTTGTCCTCCGCCACTGTGCGTTCGGTCTCTGACGCTGTATGCCCATCTGTGTATTTGCAGCTGCTGACAATGCGCTCACGTTGTTGTGTGCAGTGACACAGTCGTCCGGTCGGCCGCAGCTCAACGCAAACGAATCTATTGGAGTCGGTCTGGCAGCTCCTCTGTCTCTGAGATTGTGAATCTTTTCCATCTTTTCTGACCAAATTTACTGTCTCTATGTGCATCTCGACTGTAGAAACATGAAGCTATGGGCTGACACGAAGGACCGACGCAAGTACGAAGACCTGTCGGACTTGTTTGCCATCTTCAAGACCACGGAGCACCTGGAAGCCGCTTACGTTCGAGACGCCATCACACCCGAACAGGTGTGTAGCCACTTGCTGCGCGATTCTACATTGACGAGCTATCTGTGTCGTTTTCCACTCACACTGCAATGAGCGTGTAGTATACGGAGGCGTGTACGAAGCTCATTTCGCAGTACAAAACGGCCGAGACGGCGCTCCGGTCCGGAGGTTTTATCGACAGTGTCGAAGCTTTCGTCTCCGAGTACAGACTGGACTGTCCTCGCGCACTGGAGCGACTCGTTCGCATTGGCGTGCCGGCCACTGTGGTGCACAATACGACCAACCGCAAGACAGACTCGGTCAATGTAGCGCAGACCGTGCAAAACTTCATCACGCTCATGGACGTGCTCAAGCTCAACATTCGAGCGGTGGACGAGATCCAGCCGCTGCTGAGCGAGATGATGAGCTCGCTGACTATGGTGAGCGGCTTGCCGCCTAACTTTTCCGGCCGCGACAAGATCGAGGGCTGGCTGTGCACGATGAACGCAATGCGAGCTTCCGACGAACTCGATGAGGAACAAACGCGTCAGCTCAGCTTTGACCTCGAGCGGGCCTACTCGTCGTTCATGGCTTTCTTAAACGAATAGGCAAGACACCGAACGCTTTCCATCGAGTTCTGTGCCAGAGCTGTTCGAGTCAAAAGGTACCATGACAGCGATTTTTATTATGATGTTAAGATGCTATTTCCGCTTTCTTTGCGCAGCTTCGTCACTCTTGTAATGGCGCGCTCGCACGCCATTAAGGTCCACCAAAGTGAAATGCTCACACTCTCGTCATGTGTGCTAGCACCAGATGTTGGTGGTGGAACCGCTTGTCTAGCGTCAATGCAGTTCCTTAGCTTCTTTTCCGCCATCGAGCAGCGACGTGCAACGAGCCATTGCAGAGTCGAGCTCCAAACGCATCGCATCGAGCTCGTCCAACATCAAGCGCAACTCAGCATTCCCCTCGGACTTGAAACGCTGAGAGCTCAACGAGGCCAACTTCTTTTCTGGCTTTGATATCGGGTCCAGCTCAATGTCCTGCAAAAAGTTCGGTTCCATCACACCAGTGGTAGACAGCAACGCCGACGTGTGCGGCACCGTTGGCTGTGACGACGGTGAGACCTCCTCCGGCGAAAAAACCGTCTCTGCAAGTTCTTGGTCGGGCCCAATCTCTTGCACGCCTTTGGTGCCCTGCTCCACGGCTCGCTTCTTGTTCTTCAGCACTGGTTCAGCTTGTGGCTTCACATACAGCAACACCTTGCGGGTGACGACGACTTGCTGGACGGCTGGCTTGCTATGAGCAGGTTCAGCCGAAAACTTGCGCTTTGGCAAGTCCGTCAGTGAAGCCACAGCACATGTGGCAGTCTTCACAGGAACAGGAACTGCAGGAGATACAGCCTTCTTCGGCTTCGACTTCGGCAGTACAGCCGCAGCTTTCGCGTCGAGGGGCACCAAAAGTGGACCGATCTTTGACTCGACGGCGGCAGATCGGGGAGCCGCCTCACATGGCGAAGCCTTTTGCTTTACAGGCTGCATCTTCTTGCTTCCGGTCCGCACGTGCACAGCCTTCACGGACGTCGTCAATGCGCTGGACGTTACATTGTCCTGTTTTGCTTTTTGCTTCGGTGCTGCTCTTTCAGTCTCCTGCACTGGCTGCAACTGCGTCAACTGGGCCTTGAGCGGCAGCAGCGGTCGACCGCGTCGTACCCGCTTTGGCTCCGACTTGGCCCTGGGTTTCTCCCAAGTGTACAGCTCTTCGGTCGTTTCCAGTCCATCCAACCTGATCCGTGGCAAGACGTCACGCGTCGCGATCGAGGCACTGCTTGCAAGAGCAGTCGTCTCGTTCTTCTGCCCCAGCTGCAAGTTCTCTGGCTTTGACGCCATCGTTGCCGTCTCCACCTTCTGCGACACAACAGTCAGCGGTGCTGCTGCCGCAATCCTCGGCACTTTGCTCTGCGTCTGGCAACGCTCGTCCCTGGGCGCGATCGAGAGTGTCAGCGAGTAGTCCAACGCACTCCGACGTAGCGCCAAGAGGCGATGGACGACGCTCGCAAGGCTCAATCTCTGCTGCTTCGCCTTCCCATTGCTGCAGTGCAGCAACGCAATGCCCACCACGACCAGTAGCGCGCCACAAAAGAGCAGCGCGCCGCTGAACAAGACGCTGCTCACTGCAAAGCCCACGACGATCTGCAGCACACCACTTGTCGTGATGAAGCCACCGATATAAATGGTCGACTCTTGACCCGACCCGTCGCCCGCAAGTGCGTTCGGGGCGCAAAGCGACTGGCGCTCCCGTTTTTCCTTTCGCTGCTGCTGCTGCTGCAGTGTCTTGGGACTCGTGCGCTGCCGCATTGTCGTTTCACAAGTGAGCGGGAGAAAGAGCAGCGAGTGTCGTGACAGATACTGCCCAGCAGGGACGAAGCTCCGAGTCCACCGTCCAGTTTGACCTCTCAACTGGATCGAACAAGAGCGCTGCTGTTATAATGCCCGAGACAGAGTGAGTGTGTGTAAGCGAGAAGACAAGAGAGAGAGACACACACAAGAGAGAGACACACAGTCGTCTTCCCCCCTCGCCCTTCTCACTGTCTGCAAGTGGCAGTAGTGAAGTACGTCAGGAGCTACCGAGCGACAGAGCGGTCGGTCGGCCGCTCGATCGGTCGACGAATTGGTCAACCGGACTACCGGGCGGTCGGTCAGTCGTCCATCGTCACTGTCTTCGTCGTCCGTGAAGCCGTTCGTTCGTTCCTTGCGCTCTTGAATCACTCGTGGGACACGTATTAGTAATGAAGGCCGCGGGCAAAAGGGCCGCTCTCTCTCACTCTCTCTCACGCTCTCACGCTCTCTCACTCTCTCTCTCTCTGTTGTTCGTGTCCCTCGCCATCTGTCGTCGATCAGATTTGATCCACTCTTCAACCGGCAGCCAGCGATCGACACTGGTCGAGAGGGGGGGGGGGGGTGGACTGCGTCGACACACTGGCTCCACGTTGCAGCACTCGAGAAACGCTTTCGTGTCGAGTCACGTCCTGTCGACGACACTTGCGCTGCACCGATCGAGTCAGTGCGAGGAAAAGTGAGGGGGGGGAAGTAAGTCGGCTCAGGCAGTTGAACTACCTGATGCTGCAGTTCTCTGCGTGGGAACTCAGCGCTCGCACACACATGCGACACGTGCTGAGGTGTCTGTCATACTTTGAGGTTAGCTGCTTTCGCTACAGGACTAGTGACATACAAATGGCCCGGCGTCGATGGGCGAGTGTTGCGCAGATTTGAGAGCATTGTCGCACTTCTTTGGGCGGCTGCTGTTAACCGCAGCGCATGATCGGATGCGGGGGGGCCTGGCGCGACCATGACACATGAGAAAGTCCTGGAACTGCACCTGGAAACTGCACGATTTCTGGACATGCGTAGCTGCTCTTGCGTTTCATGTGCAGCGCAGGTGCCTTCGTAACTGCAGTTACCTTGACGATCAGCTCGGATGGTACTGAGTCATACTAATCGATTCTGGTGCTCGAGTGTTGTTTTCCTGCTCTGGTCGACTGATTATTGAGACACAAAGATCGGATCGGGTGGTTTCTCATTGACGACGAACAGGGCTGTCGTTCCAGCATGTGTCAGTTTTATGAGCTCGGTATGCAGCTGATCACTTCAAATGCTCGAGGAGCTACATGCGTCAATTCTTCGTTGACAATGATTGACTGACGCCTTGCAGAAGCTGGGTAAGAGTGATTTGTATTGACAACAACCGGTGGTGTCTCACATATTGTCGCTGTCGCAAGTCGTGAGGGCATCATCATTGTTCCTGTTATCATCTGCCCTGCCTTCCATGCGCAAAGCTCTGATGTGTGTTTCTGATGAGTTGGCAGATTTGCTGCAATGGCGTCGCTCGCACCTTGCGTATGTGCTAAATCCAGAATGGAGGAAGGAGGTGGGCTTGTAATCCATCGTATTAAGCAAATCTTTCTTGTTCCGAGAGGGTATGACCGCGGCGTCTAGAAACAAGGATGAAGGAGTCGTGTCTTTCAACACAGGATTGCGTATGTTCACCGGTGCTGGGACGATTGCTTATTCAATGAGTGTATGTCCACTGATGATGCTGGGACAATCAAAGTCTGTCACTGTTGTAACGAGGCACGTTTTACTTAGACTAGGGGCATTGTAAGCTTTCTACACACGTAAAAGTGTAGACATGTGCTTTACGGCTTAACAGGCATTGAGTGCAGGAAGGAGGCGGATGTAAAGTGCGACACTGATGGAAAAAGGGGAGGTATTTATCACTCGGTGAATCCCTACTTATCATTCAGACATTACCTCATACGTCATCAAGCGATAGAAAACAACAGAACTACCTGATCATCTGCCCATTCAAGCTTCATTTCTGTGCAGATACCTTCGTCTACTTCATCCATGGCATGTGTCACCCAAAGAACTAAATGTCGTCAATCGCTGCTTGTTCCAACCTCAATGGCACCATCAACATAATATGTGCCCATGGTGACCGTCTAAGATTACGTTGCCGAATATTGTTCGTTTAAATGGATGCACCTATACATGTAGATAAACATCTGTGACATGTGAAAAGCCCACCCCATTCCATCACCTTTGTCTTATCAATAGTCACACAGGTGGCCACGCTTGATGTATAAATGACCCACTATGAGGTCGCACGATAGAGCAAACAGAATTGGTCGAATTTGCCTAATGAAACTATCGTCGTTGGTGCATTATAAATGGAACGCGGGAGCTCGTTACATGTCCTTCACACCAAAGGAGGCCAACGAGAATAATATCTTAAGTAGTAATATAGTCCTATATTTACCACGCACTCCCCAATCCTGCGCCGCAGAGATCACAGTTGATCAGGCGGAGTATAAACAGTGTACCAGGTCCACAGACCGCGTAATGCGCTCACGAGTGGCCCCACTTTGACCATATTCCGCCCGGAAAACTGGGGGGAAGCACGGCCGGGGCCTCCTTCGTCTTACCTAGAGGGCAAGATCGCAAAACGGAAGACAAGGCTGAGAGCGCACGCTCTGTCACACTGTCAGTGGCCAATGACTCGGGTCAGTCGCAGCAGACTAACCGGCTCAGCGCAACCCCGGAGGAGATGTTCACTGCGATCGTGGAAGTAATGGAAGAATCTGCATATGGGAAAGGTCGAAGCATGGAGCGCGACTGTGCGACATTAATTCGCGGTCGTATACAACACGGTACCTGTTCATTCTGAGGCTCTTCCTACGGAGCAAAAGCGAGTTCCCATTATAACGGCGGCTGGGGCAAAGAGTCTTGTGGGTATGTTTGACCAAGTTTTTGTCAAAGACCACGAAATATATCGAGTAAACCCAATTGTACAGCTCATAACGCGCGAGCTTTTCACTTCCAAATGGGCATTCATAGAAGTTGTGCGAAATTTTTCAGCCAGCGCATATGGGCTCAGGCTCCGGTGGTGGACCAGTGGTCCAAATTCGTACGAAAATGCAGCTCGGCCATAAGTAGACGGTCGCACAATATAGGCGTCAATGTTCTCATTCGACGAGACCACCCGACCCAGAGCGCTCTATGAATGTTCGGTGCCCGTGGCAGGCCCTAGCTACGTACGGGATAGGAGTGACTATGAATGAGCGGTAATGGTCGGGCTAGTGGGAGGCATGGTCGCCTAGAGGCATCTACCTGTGTTCACCCAGCACATCCTCAAGAGTTAGGGGAGCCTTCGCCTGTATAGTACCATCCAGTATAAGTCGAAGGGGGGGGGCTAGATTCTCATCTGGATTAATCCCGCTCGATCAAGGCGACTCAGTAGACCACCAAAGCGATCCAAGACACTATACTCGAGTCAGATGAGCTTGCGGGGGTCAACCTGCAAGAGTTGCATTATATGCTACACCAGACGAAGACAAAAACTTTCGATCCGGTCACGAAGTCCATATTATTCGTTTCTTTACCAGGGATGTATTGATGTTCAACCAAGATGTTCGCGTGCCATTTAATTGGGGAGAGGTATCGCCCGCAATCGCGCATCGGTCTGATCGCGGGTCTATGTGGCAACGACAGAATGGAATGGGAGGATCGTTGAAGGGGCGCCGTGTGTAGTACCTTGTGCAGCTTCACAAGATTCACCGAACTAGTGATACTGGACGCATTGCGGCTTTCCTGAAAGTCAAGGCTCCGTCACAGTTTGAATCGGGGGATATCGATACGCACGCCTCCGAATATAGAGCGTCTACGGTATATAGGGTCACTCTAAAACTCGCAGGTTGCTCCATTTCCTACATGAGGTAGTTCGGCTCTTATGGTTTGAAACGACGGTAGTGGTCGAATTTGGGACAGTTGGAAGTCATTTACAATGTGGCGACCTCGGCCATCCTCTGGCACGGTGCAGGTTCACTGACAAATTGCTGAATGGACCAGGGTGTATCTTTGTTACGGAAGACGACATCTAAGGGCTCTCGGACCTAGCTAAATCCTTCCAAAGTATCGAAGAAATGAAAGAATTGTCGGCGAAAAGGCTTAACGTCGAAAAGGGTGTCGCAGCAGCGGCTCAGGCAGCCGTCACTCCTACTGGGCTTAGTGACGCGTCTCAGTCTACAACAGACTTCGCTTTGTACCAAACCAACGCAACCAGCAGCGCAACGCAGACTGAACAAGAAGCGAAGTTTGCCTATATCTAACCGAAATCGAAGCCACCGACCAAGCAACCTGGGTTGACGCAACCGTAAAGAGGTTCATTTAAGGCGGGCTACTCTCTTTGGATTTACTACTCGCCCAGTATTCATGACGGATACTTACTGGGCACTAATCGGTGACGAAGAGGAGAGGAGGTGAGAAAGTGAGGTATATTTAGGTACGCGGACGACCTGCTATAACCTGTCGCCCGGCAACAAGGTTACCGGGGTGACTGCTAATTTACATACTGGGTAGAACTAGGTCTCGGACAGCAGAATTCTGCGCGTAGCCTCCTGTCGCGAGATGATCAGGCTCCTCAGGGCCCAGTACGGGGCCCTGTATGACGTATTGGTCGGCTCGCGAGGTCTCCAACCAATGACTGACAACAGAATCAAGGAAGGTCGTAGCCTCCTGGACTAGATCGGGGTTAGAAGAATCTTGCGATTGAACCGAAGCCCCTGCGTCCATAGCGATAATCGCCAATCGACCCGCCATTTTGTGGTAGGTGTGATAATGATGTCCCCAGCTGGAGACATTAATATCGTTAGCGATCGCGCTTGCTTTGTTGAATAACTGCACCAAGTGCTGCTTGCGTGGAGGACGTCGTGTTAGGAGTTGCGAAAGCCCAAGCGCACTGTCCCCAATGACACGCAGGGGTAAGTAGTCGCTGTCCCTTGCGCGCCATAGACCGTGGA